CATCCCATGGCGGCTTGAGATGAATGTGCTTTTGGGCTCCCTCCGCATTACGGCAGCTTTCGTCTGTTGTCTGCCCAACCTAGGTAGTGCGCCGTTTGGAGGTCCAAATACTTGTCTGGGTCTCAACAAATGGCTGTATATCGGCCCACCTAAATCACCTACTAGATAAGGAAGGACGGAGATTCGCGGTGAGGACATGAAACAGCAGCGGGCAGGCTTGTAAAGGGAACAACGATAGCAAAGGCGGGGACGACCGGCAGCAGGCAAAACAAAACAAGGCTACGGGAACCATGTGGCATGTTTTGGAAGGGGAATAGGAGTAAGGAAAAGATACAAAAAAAAAAAAAAAGGCGGGGACCCCACAATGATGGAGGGGATACTACGCCATCCTCAGCCGTGTCTGCAGAGTGACAACGGACAGGGCAAGGGGGTCCCGACGGACGCTTCGCACAGGCTAGATGCGACACAGCGGCACGGCCACGCATGAGCATGGAGATTAGGGAGGTGGAGGAGAACCGGGCATCAATGACCGGATAAACAGACTGGCAGACGCAGGGGGGAGGGGGAGAGGGAGCCGCACGCCTGCATTTTGGCAGGTATCAAACGTGCAGAAAACGGGCCAGGAAAACGCGGGGGGCAAGGCAAGGAGAGACGGCTCCGTGTTTTTGGAGACGGGTCAAGGGCTTACTCGTCCGAGGTCAGCACGACGGATCGGGCCCGGTGCAGTCGAAGGTGGAGCTTGTCCTCCGGGTTGGGCTCGAGAGCCTGCAGTGTGTGTGTGTGTGTGTGTGTGTGTCTTAGTGTTTGTTGTGTTTCGAGGGGGGTGGGTGGGTGCAAGTCTCTGGACTCTGGCTGTGTGTGATGCATACTCTGAACATGGCGCTGGTTAGACTGCCGTACTGTAGCACCAGAAAGCGGTGGTATCTCGGTGGCTCTAATCGACAGAACTCTCGGGCTGGAGAGCTTCCGGGTCTGGACGTTGGGGTCTCTGACGATCTGTAATGGTTTATTAATTGACCGATGAGAGCTGATGCCCATTCCTTTTTTAGAGCCGAGAGGGACGGGAGGAGGGGGAGGGTCGATGGAAATAGCTCCCCTGGCAGGGACTTGGACTGGCTTAGCTAAGGCAATGCATCCGCTGTGGAGAGGGAGCTCCGTGGAGACTTTGTGTGGGTCCCCTTGCCGCGTCGGAGCTGCATCGTCATCTCCAAATGGGCGCTGTGGCCCCCAACGCCCTCCAAACTCCCGACGACATCAATCGCGACCGAAACCAAACCTGCGACTGCCGCCCGCGAACCTGCCCGCAGACGACGCGCCCTGTCTGCCTGCCTTCCCACCACCACCACTCCCGTCCACCGAACCGAACGAAAGAGGGCCAGCCAGACGCACCACCCGTGCGGCCTTTTTTTTTCTTTCTTTCTCGATGCGAGAATAGCTCCGCTCGCCAGCGTCCCCCCTACCAATCAGCCTCCCCGAGTCCCCGAACCCGCGGCCATGAAGCCTCTCGTGAGCGCCATCCAGGCCTGGTCCTGGTGAGCATCCTCCTCCCTCCCAACACCCATCCGCCTGCCCACCCACCTCTCCCGCTAGCCCCTTCCCTGCCTAAAGACAGCAACGCGCCGGATGCTAACCGTTCCGGGCCCTCCCCTCCCATCCGCGTGCGCAGCGTCGTCATCTCCGTCTTCGCCATCGTCATCCTCTCGGTGCTCGGCCTGCTGTTCAACAGCAACAACCACGAGCTCGTCGGCGGCCGCGAAGACCCGAAGAACGGCCCGGCCGTCGCGAGCACCATATTTGTCACGGTGCTCATCTACGCTGTCGGTTTTCCTCCCTCCCTCCCTCCCTCCCTTTGCTACCCACACCCCCTCCTCTTCCTCCTCCCCCCTCTCTCCCATCCCCTTCCCAAGGGCTCGGTGCCTGCCGTGTTGCCCAGAACCGGGACGCGGCACAAAACGGAACGGACGTTACTGACACGCATTCTCCGGCCCTCCCCGCCGTGTAGGGTTTCCTCGTCTTTTGCGGCCTGCAGGGCATGATGCACGTGCGCGAGAGCCGGAGGGGGGCCATCGCGCTATAATCGCCAACCCGACAGCAGCGGGAGAGCCAGTCGATACTGGATGGCGGGCGGTTGCTCCAGGCCTCTCTGTTGACTATTGTATAACCCGGGCAGGAAGGGGGTTGTGGTCCGAAAGAGGCCAAGTCTAACTATCTATCATGGGCTTTGGGCGTTTTGTGCTGGCTGACCTACTAGCTAGGCTTTGCATATCCAAAAACTGTTCCTGTTTTTCATTCCTTTTTTCTTCCTATTTTATTACATCTCCGTTGTTATCTAGTTGCTCGTCCTCGTCCTTTGCCTATGTATCTATGTACCTGCTCTGGCATACCTTGTTGCATCTTGTCCAGAATGAAACTGCTCAAGCGGCTTGTGGCAGACCAAATCCTTTGAACTATTCAATTTCCCCAAAGAAAAGCCTTGACTCCATTCGGTGAGGATAAAGATGGAGGGACAAGAGTGCAGTCCAACACTGTCGGAAGTGCTGTTCTCATCTGGCCGGCCGTGCTGGCTAACTAAGCAAGTTGCTTGTTCTATGCTTTCGGAATGAAAGACTACAGAGATTCCTCCTCGGTCTCCTTCTTTTCCCACCACGCATCGCCAAAGTCGCACATGTTCTGGGAAACATAGTCCGAAGCTGCACCACGAGCTCCATCGCCACCCCTATTTCCGTCCTCCGATGCGTCGTCCTCGGCGTTGTCCGCCTTGGGCTTGGTGCCGTAGTAGCGCTGTGGCTGGTACGTCTCGCCCAGCCGCCGGGCCACGTCGTTGGCCTCGCCGAGGCTGGCGAGCCGGCGCTTGCATGTCGAAGGGCTGCTGTCGTCAACATGGGCCCGGCAGAGGTTGTAGATTTCGGCCTTGCGCTCCTCGTCGCTGCCTGCGCGCCCCCACATGGCGCCCGTGATCCGCTCGCCCTTGGGATCAACAAACGTGTCCGAGTCTGCGTTGACCATGTCTGATACCGACTTGTTGTGCCGGCTCCGGGGCTCGCAGATGCGAGACGAAACAAACTCATCGCGCGCGACTTCTGCCGGCGTCCGCCCGACGGCGTTCTCGCGGTGGAGAAGCTTGGCGTCCAGGTCCAGGATGATCTTGATCAGGTCCGGGTGTGCCTGTCTGACAATCATTGTGTGGAGCACCGTGTTGCCAGCGCCGTCCAGCATGTCGAGCTCCTCTCCGCCCGAGTACTCCAACAGGAGCTTCATGACTTCCAGCACCTCGTCGCGGCCACTGTATGACCCGAAGGGCTGCCAGCGCGAATTGATGGTGACGTGAATCCATTCGTACAGAGGCGTGCGGCCTCCGGAGCCAAGCTTGTTCCGCTCCTTGAACATCTGCTTGCGCAAGCCAGCGTCCATGAGCTCGAGCATTGGCCGGAGCTGCGCCGCCCGAGGGCGCTCAGCAAGGGCCAGGTGGATGATATTGTTGAAGTCATGGTCCTTGGCAGTCTGGTCCGAATGGGGCATGAGGAGCTCGACGAGATCGGTGCGACCCAGTCTGCAGGCAATGTGCAGCGGAGTGTATCCATTGCTCGACCTAGTCGTCGTGGCCGCCGGGAACGTCTTGACCAGATACTCCACTAACGGTTTCACACTGTCGAGTCTCCGGCCCTTCAGCACGGCGGCGTGGAGGACAAGCTCGTTTTGGTTCTGCAGCCATGCCGTGACCGCCTTTTCAAAGCCGCCCGCGGTTGCGCTCAAGTGTTTAAGCCGAGCATCCTCGCGGGCCGCCTTCGTTCCGCGGAACTCGAGATAGTTTCTGAGGGGCGCGTCGCTGAGGAACCACTCGACAGACTCGATGGACCCTTGGGCGGCGGCGAGAAGGAGCGGAGAGGTTGTGATGCCCGTGTTCCTTCTGACAACGGCACGGCCTGCCGTCGCCCAGTCGTTCCTTTTCTTGCCGTACACGCTGAGGCCTTGGTAGTACCTTGGCTTCACATCCATCTTTACGCCGCTCTGCTTGACCATCTCCTCCAGAGGTAGGCCGGCACCTGTCCGCTTGATGATCTCCCCGAGCATTTCGACGTGGCCAGACTTGATTGCTTGCTCGAATGCATCCCGCGGGAAGTCGAAGAAGTGAGCCGACTCGTCCTCATCTTCGGCCTTTTCCACGGGGAGGGACATGGCGGTGTCGAGAAGGAATCGCAACAACGCGAGGTCGTTCTCGCTGATTGCGTGCTCGAAAAGTGTGGTCAATTTGGATTGCCTTGGATCGGCAACAATCAGCACGGCCGGAGCCAGGAGCATCGTGAGCGGTTTTGTGCGGCTCTTGACCTGCATCGATATCTCCCCGATGTTGTCGACAGTGAACTTGTCATCCACGATCCGAGCAAAGATCTTCGGCTTGTCTTCATGCTCGCCGACAGACTCGTCACTGCTGCTGCAGTCAGAGTCGTCCTCTGGCCGGTCCATGGTGAACCGGGTGGTTTTGACTTCTTCCGGAGCATACTGGGCGTGTGCAATCTCGAGGATAGCCTTGGCAACTTCCCGATGTCCCCGAAGTACCGCGGTGACAAAGAGGTTATTCCGTTGCGAGTCCTCCACGGACACCATGAGAGGGGGCTCGCGCTTCTCTTCGTCCCAGGATGCGAGCGTAAGCTCTTTGATTCTCTCTAGGTTCCCGGACCATGCTGCTTCGAACAGCTCGACATAGGCCACTTCACGGGCCGGTGTCATGTCCTTGACGCCGTAGAATGAGTGCTTGAACTCGAATGGTGTTTGCCTTTGGTCAGAATCGCGTTCGGTCGACTGGTTCCGGTTCTGGTCGTTCATGCCCGGATGTAGTTCGTCAAAGGTCTTTCCGCCTCGCTCCAAGATGATCGCCTCAGCGTTCTCCAGCGCATATGCAATCTCAGTGATGGTCTCCTTCTTCTCCAGTCGCCCCTTTTTCGCCTCGATTCGCTTCAGATCATCCCTGTAGCACTTGAGGCGGGATTCGGCCGTGGCTTGGGCATCGGCAGCGGCTCGCGCCACAACCCAGTGCTTCCAGGTGTCTGGAACAAGCCCTTCGAGGGCAGATTCGACACCTGCCAGCGGTTGGGGTGCCGTCCCGCATGGCTTCTCGCCCTCGTATTTTCGGACGAGAGCCATCTGCCTGCGAACAACATCCAGTGCTGTCTCGCCTGTGTTGTAGTTCCTCCACCACCCCCCTTTCAGGATATTCCAAGACATCTGGGTGAGTGTGTTGACGTCTGCGCCGCGCTCCAACAGCGCGATGGCGCTCGTTGGGTCCGCGGATTCCAGCGCCAGGATCAGAGGCTGGTCTAGTGATGTCCGGAAGGTGTCCGTGTTGCTCTCGACAGTGCCTAGCCGGTTCTCAATCGCATGTTTGGCCGACTTCAACCACGTCTCAAAGTCAATATCGGGGACGGCGCCCGCGTCGAGAAGCTTGAGCACGAGGCGCGAGTCGTTGTTCTGGATTGCTGCCTGGAGAGGACTGACTGCCTTCCAATGGTCAGGCCAGGCTAGGTGATTGATGGAGGTCTTGGCCCTCACTGGATCAAGATCCCACAGGGCTTCGACGAGCTCGGAGGCGCCATTGGCGACGTAGCGGTGGAAGCACGTCATGTGCTTTAGGTCCGCCTGCGCGGAGGTGGCCCCCAGGGCCAGGAGTGTCTTGGTCATGATCTTAGCCTGGTCAACAGGCAGCGAAAGGGCCAAGACGAGAGTGAGCAGGGCAGCGACTGGCTTAGAGTCGTAGCCGAGAATCTTGACAGGAAGGAGCACATCCGCCCCATACTCCTCACACAGCAGCCTCACGACATCGATGTGGCCCGAGATGATGGCAAGGTGGAGGGCCGAGCACGGCGTATCCCATGCGATGACGTTGACATCGTAAAAGTCGTCGCCCTCGTCGTCTGGGATGACGTCTTGAGTCCCTGGCTTGGAATCTCCACGCTTGACCTTGACGAATGAACCCGTAGCCATGCTCTGGCCCTCGTCGTCCTCGTCGGACAGGTCCTCGTCGTCAATGAATTCGCCGTCTTCTTCCTCTTCGTCTTCCTCCCCTTCGTCTTCTTTCTCTTTTCCCCCGCCCTGAGACTCTTCCGAATTTGCCGACTTCTGTGATTCTTCAGCCGTTGCATTCGCTCCAGTACCCTGAGCAGTGCGCTGACGATCCTTCTTTTCCTCTGCGTCGGCTTCGTTCTCATTGCTCTTGTCCATGAGGATCTTGACGATGTCAACGCTTCCCCGTTCGGCGGCAAGGTGAAGAGCAGTCCGACCGTCAGCAATGCGGGCAACCAGGCGTGCGCCTTTGTCCACCAGAAGCCGGACAATCTCGGGGGTCGAGGTCATGGCGGCCAGGTGCAGGGGAGAACGGCCGGTGTGGTCCCTCTTGTTGGGATCGGCTCCCTCCTGGGCAAGCCAGTCCTGGACATGCTCTGCATCACCGTCAACGATGGCCTGGCACAAGCGAGCTGTGTTGCCCACATATGCCATCTCGGTCCAGTCGTCGTCGGTCAAAGGGTTGAACGATCCGATTTCCTGTCTGCCCGGGTCATCCTTGATGAACGAGATCTTCCCCGAGACGTACGTCTTGTCTTCTACTTCGGCGACGGCGAGCTCTTCCTCGGTTACAGCCTTCGGGCAGAATCCACAGCAGTCTTCGGCGACGTCGATGAAGCGTCCGAAGAAGGCAGGGTGACGGTGGAGGTATACCTCACGTTCTTTAGGTTGATTCCACTCAGCGTTGAGAACTTTGAGTAGGCATGTCTGTTAGTATTCCGGCTTCTGCCAGCGAAAGCACGAACGGAGAACAGGGAACTGGACGGCAGCTTACGCAAATCCCTGGTGTAGCACAGCTTTTCGATCCTCTTGGCGGTAAATTTGGGACCGTATGGTATCGTGAAAGTGTGGTAGTTGGAGACTTCGTCTTCAGTCACCCATTCGGCAACCTCATCCTCATGGCTCTCCTTGATATTGCCATGGAGACCGCTAGACCAGCCACGGTTCACTGCAGGCCGGCCCCTCTCCTCACGGCGCTTGTCGAGATACTGCTCCCGAGCGGAAGAGGTAGGCAAGCGCTCGAGCACCAGCAGGCGCGCCAGACCGAGGGTGCGGCGGAAGCTTCGCTCGAAGATTGTCGGGTCGATCCGCGAGCGGTCAAGGCCTGGCCAGTACACCTCGAAGCCCCTGTGGCTGTACTTGGACAGCCTGTTCTCGTATGAGGGGCTACGGCGCGAGAGATCGACGTGGTTGATCTGCGTTACGAACGACTGCAGAGCTCTGGGGGTGCAGTAAACCTGCTTGCCATCGTAAGCAGCCCCGGAGCAGTCGACGTCGAATCCAGTGAGTATTTCCGAAACAGACTTGTAGATACGAAGTACGATTTGCACCTGGTGATTCTCCTGTTAGTCCTGTTTCGGAGATGACGCTGATCAAGACGCGCACAATGACAACTGAGGCGGAGAAGAGGAATTCGGGATAGACACATACATGGCGGGTGGGGTAGCTGCTGCATATGGTGATTGCATTTTTAGTCCGGACCGTGGTGCACTCGGTCAGGATCGAGTCTTTGATGCTGCCCTCGATCTCGGCAATCTTGGCAAGCGCCTGCTCCTCGGTGAGGCCATAGAGGAACAGGTCGACATCAGAGGCGGGGCAGAACTTCTCGTGATAGAACTCGCGCAGCGCTCGCTTGGACTGGGCAAACTGCTTGGGAACGGGCAGGAGACAGCTCGTAACAGCCGACCCGGAAACGACAACGTTGTTCCAGTCCATGTCGACGAGTGCGGATTCGCTGAATATGTTGAAGTTCTCCTGGAAGCGCTTGAGGGAATCCACAACGGCGGGAGACCCATCGGCACGTCGGTGCTCATCAGGGAGGGACATGATGTAGCGGTCCTTCTCGTCCTGAGACTCTTTCTCAAGTACCCGGGCGCGAACCTTGATGTCCGGCGTGGACGCGGCGAACAGGGGCAGCACATTCACATGCGGGTTCCGCAGGACCTCATGGTCTGGCTCCTGGGCATACAAGCCTCGGAGCTCCTGCTCAAAGACGCGGTACGGCTCCAGGAGCTCAGTGATCGGGGTCCCGGGATTCCCCGCAACGTAAGCCGCCAGTTCGGCATGGGGGACGGGAATTTCTGGGAGATTGGAGGCAGCCATCGTGGGCCAGAACGGACGACGGGGGTGCAAATGAAGCTCACAAGCAGTCGGGCTATCAATTGGAGGAAAAGAAGGAGAAGGAAGACCAGACAGAACTGGGGCGGGGATTCGAAGCAGGCGAAAAGTCCGAACAAATAAAGGCAAGCAAAGACAAAGGTTGACCGACTGGTGACGGCGGTGGTGCTAGTGGCTCTTGGCGGACAACTGACAGGCGGTGGTTGGCGAGACTTGCATGTGAGCTGCAGCTTGAGAGGCGTCCTGGCTGTCAGTGCTGAGGAGGAACGCCAAAGAAAGTGGGCGCAGCGGGTTTAAATGCTGTGAAAAGCATGTCGCCTTGGAGCTGCCTGTTGAAGAAAAGAAGAATACAAAATCCCCTGATAGGACCGGACCCAGTCCGCGAGATGGGACTTGCAGGGACTCGCAGGTTCAGCTCCGAGGGCCGTTGGCGGCTGGGCGTGACAGCAGTTTGTTCGCCCGCGGGCAACGTCGTGCAGGCATAGTGCCACAGCTCCCCGCTTCAATCACTGATTGAGGCTAGCGCGCATAGGCCCTAGGCAGCTCTCCAGCAAAGGGACGTCACCGCTGGAGAAGGACCGCGTGTTGGGCGTGTGCTGCCTAAAGGGAGGTGGGGTTCGCCAAACGCGAAAGGATCACGAAGTCCTGTGACCTCCGCTCAAGAACTGATTGCCCCTGTGAAGATTAGGTCCATCCGCTGACGGTAGCCTCAGCGAGACGAGACCCGCTCCTGCTGCCTGGGGGTTCAAGCTCATCATGCGTCGAGGCCGGACAATGGCACGACGACCAACATGAAGTAATCTCTTTCCTTCCATTTTATCGGCGTGATCCGCCTGGTTCTCAGTCATGCGTCAGTATCTTCACTCCTGCTGGCGGCTGGCGGCCGCACATGAGGGAAATTGCGCAAGTTTAGGGCATTTCTAGTAGGACGATGGATTTATTAAGGGACAGGCTTAGACAATCTTGCCGTCATTGTTGCCGAGGTGTCTGTCTATGTAGTTACCTCCCTCCCCAATACCAACCTCCTATACAATTGAGTAATCAACAAAAAAAAAAAAAAAAGGAAGAAGTCCGATATGAACCGAGCCAATCCCGCCAATGGGCCTAGGGATGCGCGAGGAAGAGACAGGGATACAGAAAGAAAGCGGAAGAAAAATAGGTCTCATCGAGACGGAATAAGAAGAACATGGTAAAGTCATGTTGCGGCTGAAGATAAACCGACCAATAAAACCAGAACAGGCTTTTGTCGAGTGATGATAGACGCTTCAACAAATGCTGGGGGTATATGCGAGACAAGATCAGAGCCGTCGTGAAGGGGGAAGAGAACAGGAGGCAAGAAACTGCGTGCAGGAGTATGGGCGAACTTGAAGTCGAGTGGTGTTTGTGTATGGTTCGTGTCGATAGACCTTCGTGGGAGGTCCCCATCCGCAAGCTCGCCAATATCCGAGGGCGGGCTGATCGTATAGTTCCAATTTGGTTCGACCCAGATCAAAGAGCGAGGCATCCAAACGGATCCAGCAGCGACAGACCGAGAGAGAGATATAGAGAAAAAAAAAGGAAAGGGCGTTGATGCCAAAATAAGTCAAGGTCGGATGACAGGTCAGAAAAGATTCAAGGAGAAGAACGGGTGTGGCTCTATCGTGAGTGCGCAAGTCGAATCCTATCGGTCATAATGTTTTGGCGTGGCTTTGCACGTTGCCCCTTGCGAGGGATGGGATATTAAAGTTGTAAGTGAAGCATTAGGTGCCGAGTGAGATTTTGGGACAGGGCGGGTTGGGAGAAAGAACGAAGTTGTGCCAGGCATGACTGGGCCGTGGGACATGGAAGAGAATATCTCTGGGAGAAAAATGACGCAACCCTAAAGAAGACCAGAGGTGCGTAGCTCAGAGGTAATCTCCTCGCGTACTTTGCGACACCACTCTAGGATTGCGTCCTCGAAGGCGAGCCAGACAGCCGGGCCCGAGTTGTCATAAACTATGGCAAGCGCGTCGACATCGCGCAGCTGGATCTCCCAGCGCAACTCTGCAGCCTTCACCCAGTATCTCAGGTTGTCGGCACAACGATACGGCTTCTGGGTGTCGATGTGGTAGTTCCCAATGGCACCAAAGCGACGCTGCGACTTACGCACCGCCGCATTGTGCAGCCGCACCAGCCAGCGGCCATTTTGCATCGCCTTGAGGAAAGGCGTGGGGAGCTCCTGCGACTCCAGCGGGGCGTCCCTGTCGATCGGGGTCCAAGCGGGCAGGGGCTCGTCCTCTTCGGGCGGTGGTGTCACCACGCCCGAGGATCCTGTTGATGACGCGGGGACAAGTCCCGGAAGGACGAAGGTGGCTGTGGTAGGGGTGGTTGCGAGGGGAGTGGTGGCTCCGGGAGAGTAGGCGCCGCTGCCACTTGCCCTGGACCTGGAGCTGAGAGCAAAAGCGCCGCCCCCAGCTAGAAGCGACTGGATGAAGGCGAATTCACGGTCGACACGCCTGGCAGGATCGGCCCAATCGGCATCACGGAGCCAGGTCCATCCAGCGCGCTCGGCACGCTCGGCAGCAACGATTTCGTCTTCACGACGCAGCATATCCCGCAAGCTGGCGATCCACGACTCCATAATGCCGAACTCCTCCTCGCGCATACCACCAAGGAAGTTGCGTGTGGCCATGCGTTTGAGAACATCCATAACAGATAGCAGCTCGCCCCGTACTACCTTTTCCGATTTGATCGAGTCGAGCCTGTCCGGGTGGTCGTGGCTGGTATAGTAGACCTTGGCGGCCCGGATGGCCAGCGTCACGACATCTAGGATATGGACGCCTTGAACCTCGTGCCAGCCACCGCCTGTCTGTGACCTTGACCTCTTGCCATCCTGCTCCTGCGCCTGCTGCTGTGGGCTCTCGACTGGCTTGGTATGGCTGGAGATGTGTGTTGGGTCCTTGGCAGTGCGCGCCTCGGTCAGCGACTTGGCAGCTGTGTCTAGCGCGGTTGACAGTTCGACACGGAGCTCTTGCATGGAAGGCGGTTTCGGAAGCGGCTTCTCGCGATGGTTGTATGTGCTCGCAGTTGGAGGCAGCATGCCGGCGGCGTCTGGATCGTCATACTCGTCCATGTAAAAGTCATCGTTGTCGTCGTCAAACACGTCCGGGTGTTGGTCGGTGGTGGGGGACTCGACGAAGCCCTGGCCAGTAAGCCCAAGGTCAGGGCTGCTACCCAGAGAGGCGATAGCGTCAACATCGGTGGCCGAACGAGACTTGGGGACCAAGAAGGAAGAGCTGTCAAGCTGGGAAAAGTCCAGTGTCCGGGCCTTTCGGTCTCGCTTGCGGGAGAGCTGGCCGCCCTTGCCGTCGAGCAGACCGGTCCGGGCGAAGTAGTACTGAAGGTGAGTGATGCTTCCGAGGCTGAGGACGCTCTCTCGCTGGCGAGCGCTAGCGGCGAAGTCGGTGCCCTGCGGGCGCATGTAGCCTCTCCTCTTGGCTGCGGGGCGGTCCATGCTCATGATGGAGCTCCGGTTGACATCGGATTTGCGGGAGGCCGCCTGAAAGCTACCCGAAGAATGACGCGAGAGGGCCGATAGATCGCTGGCACCCCCAAGCGACTCAGAGCCATGGGAGGCCGAGGAGGCTGTGGAGAGGCAGCGGGACAGCTCCGGGCAGGCGCCTAGGGCAGGCGTCGGGGCGAGATCCGGGGACGGCGAGTCGCGGCGGAACGTGGGCGGCTCATCGTGCGAGGTGGCCATGTCGGCTCGGAGGAAAGTCGCGGGCGTAGACTATCGAGGTGCTGGAGCAGCCGGGTGACAGCGCTCGTTTGCTGGGGGCGGGACGAACAGTTGATTCGGCACGAGACAGGCAGTGAGTGGCGGGCCTATGACGCGAGACGAAAATGAAGGCGGCAGAAAGACGGAGGGAAGCAGTCAGTCATACGCAGACGTCTGAGGAGACGGAAAAGATCGTCTGCAGCTTGGTGAGCGGCACTTTGAGAAGGAGTGAGACGGCGCAGGTGACGGGCGGAGAAAGAGAGCCACGATGCAGGCTAAAGCACGCTGTTGCATGCAGTGTTGCATGCAGTGCGAGCGAATCGAGCCAGAAAAGAAAACATCTGGGGCCGAGGGCATGCATAGGACGCCGCTGGAGAATGCGTGCCGGCGCCCGGGTTGGCCAGATACACAGCATCGCGTCGCGGGCAGGGCGAATGGGCGTCTGGGCTGGGCCGGGACTTGGTGGGGAAACCTTGCCAGTGGTCAGGGGTTGAGGGGGCGTGTGAAACAAGATGAATGAGAATTGGTGGGCTTGGGACTAATGACAGAAGCTTGGAGGCACTAATTCTGATCAGCCCACTCAACAGCTCAACAGTGAGCACTCGGATGGAGCGAGAGGGATGCAGCCCACGCTGGCCCTCGACATCGGTACATCGCTGGGCACATTGGGGCATTCAGAATCATCGCGGACATGCAGACGTACGAATTCCCGTGTAGGATCTCGCTCTTGAGCCGGGATGCACAAGAACTTTGCAACATCGTGGACTGTTCCACAGGCGCTGGGCCAAGCCATGCATGTGAGTGAGCCCTAGGATTTTAGTGCTGCGGGGAGGTGGAACAAGGGGCAGCCAATTACGTGGGGACAACGTCCAGGCAACGCAGCAGCAGACGAAGCCTTTGTTCCTGTGGGACGGAATGTTCGGCCTGGTTCGTTTGATTACATGCAGGCCTCCCAGATTTGGGACACGGCGACCGCGAATGGCGCACCTAACGGTTCCAATGTTGAGGCGACAAAGCCAACTGTGCTGAATATATAAAAGAAACGAGCGACCGCTCGGTCATGGCTGGCGTGCAATCGCCATGCTCACCGTAGTCACCGTTGTGCCGTTCTAGCACATGGCCTGGTCAACCTAAGGCAGAGTTGGCTTGTTGGCCGTGCCCATATTCTTTGTCAACGTTTCATTGCTTCATTACTCCGACCACTCGGAACCAGGGACTGGATGTTGTCTTGGCGGCTGACGGAGAGGAAGCATAGTACAACTGCGATCACAGCGATCACATCACACAATCTATGTGTGATGCTAGTGCTGGTGCTGTTGAGGGATAGGGGATCGGCTTGTCAAATTGCAGCAGCCAGGGGACACCCTCGGAATCATTTCGCTCAATTGTTTCCCCATCTTTCGGTAACTAGGCCGGCTTAATTGGCTGGCATTTGATTCGTCCGATGATGCCCAAATTCGGAAGCACTGCCCACCCGCCTCGCGCCAGACAGCTCTGGCCACCGCAGACGAGCTTTGGAGGAATTGATTACGTCCCTCGACTGTTGAAGCATGGAGACCTGGCATTGGGACAGTCAGAAGAGGCATGACCATAAATGTAGACTTATTTTAACCTAGGATCGAGTTGATAAAAGGCACCGGCTGTTGCTTGGGCTTATGCCGATGTGAATATTGCTTGAGAAATGATTATTCCGATGGTGTGTTCTCGACCGGGTTTGACCGCGTTGTAAAAGTCTGGTCGCATCCCTGGATCGTTTTTGGTTTTCAACTTTCTTTTTCTCACTTTCTTTCTTTTTTCCCCCCGGGACGGGACGAACGCTATCCTTCCAGCAGCCAGCAGTGTTTCAAAGGCACCCAACTTGCCGACGACCAAAGTATGAATGAGCGTACCGGACACCCAACCCAAGACCAACCCAGCCTACCTACATCTGCATCGCCCATGATCGCCGGTATCACCACCGCCCATCGATTTAGACAACCAAAGAGGACCACCTGCCCACATCCTTCTCTGCAGTAGAAAAGTACGGAACAGCTTGGCCGGCAAGCCTGGCCTCGGCCGCATCCGCCGCATGCAGCGCGGGTGGAGTCACCCGGCAGACCCAGGGGTTCTGCAGAAGAGTGGAGAGCTCCAGTCCCTTGAATTCGGGAAGAGACAAGAGGGAGAAAAAAAAAAGGGAGCTGTCGCATTGCATCCCAGTTGCAGGCTGCAACCAATCTGGTTTCCACCTCGATTCGTCTCCTCTCCAGCAGCAAGCTGTGTGGCCAGAGCTTTAGATGAGCTCTGGCAGCCCAGCTCGGTTGGTCGTTGAGAATTTGCACAAGCACCTGCATGCAGTTGAGTCAACCGTGCTCGGCACCGCCAGTCATCCGCGCAGCGCGGCGCCCTCCGCCAGCTGGATTGGATTGATCGCACACATTGCGACCCAGCCCGGGTCGAGCTCCAAGCCCATAGCAACCCTGGTCCACCGCCACTGCGGCAGACTGGCACCACCAGCCCCCAACCTCGCCCAACCTAAGCTCACTAGCCCAAACCACCGCACCATCCTGCCTGGCAACACACAGACAAGCCGACAGGATCAGCGCAGTTGCTGCAAGAGGGTGCCAGCCGCGCGCACCCCCGGGGCCTCGGTTCCGCTCTTTCTTGGACGCACTGCCGGCAGCCAAACACGCTGCAGGAGGAAGACTCGTTGTAGGCTGCTGATGTAGCACGCGTGCCCGTTTGGAGTAAATGAACCCCCATCCCACTGTACAACGCTACTGCCGTCGACAGCCAAGACGCGAGGTGCCAGGCCGACGAAGGGGGCAGAGATCTGGGCAGCACGATGCAGATGCAGATGCCGCCGTCGACCTGCACCAGCTCGAGCCCCAGAGAGCCGGCGCCAGGCGCGCCTGCAGCAGCAACGACGGGAGGAGCAACCGCCCCAGCACCAGAACCAGCCACCTCGTACAGTATCGGTGAGGACACCAGCAACAGTAGCACGGCCACTCCGGAACACCGGGCCTCCACGGCCACGGCCAGGGAGTCTTGTGGTGCGCACGCCCACCACAAGAAGGACGGCAGTCTTACAGGAGGTCCCAAAGATTTGGTAGATTTGTGAGTACCGTAAGCTTTCTTATTCTTGTTTTTTTACCCCCCCTATTATTATTGCTGTTGTTATTCCTCATTTTATTCTTATCTTTAGTTCTGTTTCTATACATATACCCATACCTGTTCCTTGAAGGAACTGTCATTTTTGTGGTGGGCGTGGTGCGTCCGCAACCAAAGCAGCAGCGAGCGGTAACTGCCCAGAGCCCTGGCCTATCAGGGAGCGTTGGCTTGGATCTCACTGACGTCTGGTCTCCAGCGACTCGGCCGTGCTCCGCTTTCCTAGCCACCAGCAGCTGGCGAATGAGCCTGCCCAGGTAGCAGCACCTAATGTTTATCTGCAGAAGCCTGCACCCGACCTCGCCGGCATCAACAACAAAAACAACAACAGCCACCTCGACGCCATCCACCCCAGCCCGAACCAGTCCGACCACGCCGCCGCCGCCGCCGCCGCTGCCGCTACCACTGCCACCCTTGCGTCGTCATCCTCGTCACCGTCCACGTCTCCCATCCCTCGTCGCGTCTCTGCCAGGAAGCCCTCGCCTGGCCTAGCCGCGCGATTGAAGGCCCTTGGCTTCGGCGGCTCCCGCAAGCAATCCCCTCCACCGTCGGGCCGCTCCGACGCCAACGTCGGCCGCCTGCCCGAGGACCAGCTTAGGCAGCTCGACCAAGGCCACCAGGCCGGTTCCGAAGCCACTATCGTCGAGCGCCGCGGCCGTCCGTGGAAGGGCGCACTCGTGCGCATTCCCTCAACCAGCAGTCTGAAGGGGTGGTCGTCCAGGTCCAAGCCCGACAAGGAGCGCGCCTCTGCCGAGGCGTCGGAAGACGCCGGCCCGAGCCCTGATCTCGAGCCGCCCCATATACTCCCCGAGATCCAGGCCCCTTCTCCGCTGGACATGGACACCAACAAGTTCCGCCTGCCTGACCACACCAATGGCAATGGCACCAAGGCCCAGCCGGAGACGCGTGAGCAGCACGTCGCAAGAGGGGGGCCATCACCCCCTCCATCTCCAGAGCCTAATAGCCCACCACCTCCACCACCCCCAAAGGACACGCCTCCCCTGCCGCCCGCGGCCCCGGCCAATGCGTCATCTATGGAGTTCAGCCCGGACTCGTACTTCAACCCCTTGGGGCTGCAGCGGACGGGCTCCATATACACCTTGTCGCGAGCGTCTTTCGCCAACCAGCTGGCTCAGCTCACCTCGCTCCAGCTGCCAGATGCCGAATCCTTGTCCGGCAAGGTTGCTGCAATACCCACAGCCCAGGCCGCCGCCAGGGCCCTCATAGGTGCCGCGGAGCAGATTAGGAATTGGATCTCCAAGGCAGCAGAGGTCATCGGCGGCCTCGACAGTGAGGATGATGTCGAGTGGTCGGCAGCCGGCGGCCGCGAGGGGCTGGAGGAGGTGGAGAGCGCCATACATCGTTTCGAAGGTCTCATAAAAGTCTACCTCTCGGCCATCGAGGATTTGAACAGCCGCTTAGATATAGAATCCGTCGCCCCCGATGACCTCCAGAAGACGGTCATGCAGATGGACGCCATTACCAAGGAGTGGGCTGGCATACACGACACGCTGAGGACCGTCAAGCGCCAGGTCGAGATTGCCATGGAGTGGGAGGAGTTGTGGAATATGGTGCTGGGCGAAATACAGAACGAGATGGAGGACCTGAGCCGGCTCGTCTTCGAGATGGAGGAGCGACGCCACAAGTCCATCATGGCCGCCACTAGCGGCACCGAGAACGTCGATATTAGCGACCTCGAGACCATCGTCGAGGAGACGCCGCCGCCCGCCACCAGGTTGCAGGCGAAGCAAAACCGCTTCAGCCTGCCCGTGTTTCCCGCAAGCCCAAGCTCTCCAGTGCCTCCAAGTATGTCTCAGGAGGACTCGAGGCTGCTGGCGCTTTTTGCTAGGATGCAGCCCCTGCGCGCCTCGCTGGACTTCCTTCCTATGCGGCTCTCAGCCTTCCAGGCCCGAGCCGACAAGATATTCCCCACGGCTTGCGACGAGCTCGAAATGCGGCGGATGGGTCTGGACGGCAGTTACCGCAAGCTCGAAAAGGACGCGGAGAACCTGCGACGGGAGCTGGGCGAAGACCGCTGGGTGCTCGTATTCCGTGGCGCCGGTCGGCAGGCACAGAAGATGTACGAGTCGGTCGAGCGGAGCATGGCCAAGCTCAAGGAAGCCGTCGACGCCGGCATGCACCTGACGAACGCGCCCATGATGGGCAAGAAGATCGAGAGCTACGAGGCAAAGAAGACACACTACGGCCCGGCTGTGGAGCGTGTACTCTCCATCATAGACCGCGGCATTAAGGATCGGCTGACCGTCAACGGAGAGATTCTACGCCTGCACACGGAGCTGCAGGCCAAGTGGGAAGAGCTGAAGGACCGCCTCCGCGAAATGGATTCCACGCTAGAGGAGGTTGCTGTCTCCCACAAAGGACAGCAGCTTCGCGACTCCATCTCGAGCATGCTATCCAACGACCGCTCCACCCTCGGAAGCGGCCACGACACCCCTCAGAGCTCACCTCCGTCGTCCGTCATAATGTCTAGCCTGGGTCTCGACATGGGCACACCCACAAACCAGAGCATCAACAAGCGGCGATCCTCTAGCATGGGTAGCCACCTTCCCCAGCCGTCGAACCGACGGAGCTCGACGACGACGGGCGCCCTGGGGTCATCCCTCACCCGAAAGCCCGTCTCGAGGCTGGCGACTACGGGCAGCCTGACGGTGCCAGGCCGCGACAGCTCAGGCTCCGTCACACCGCAGGCGAAGCGCACTCCCAGCCGCCCGCCGTCGACCATTCCGGGACGCCCGCGCTGGAGCATGTCCACCACTGGTATCGACACTGGCCACAACTTCAAACCTCTACAGCCTGACGCGACCCCGTCACCCCAGACGAGCGCTTCGAAACTGCCGTTTCGAAGTCCCCTGAGCCGCGCCGCCTCGTCCTCACCCATGCCTGATGACACTCCTCCCCGATCTGTAAATCGCATGTCTTTCCGCGAGAGGCTGGCGTCGCCGGGCCCCTACTCGCAACTGACGCTATCCAAGACACGCCTCTCCAACCAGACACCGCTGCCTGCTGTTGGTAACAGGCGCGTGTCTATGCCGCCAGAAAGGCCCGACGACCTGAGCGCCGGATCACAGCGCTCGGTTAGCTCCCTGGCCTCGACTCGCAGGGCTAGCCTATTCCCTAACCCTCGCTCTCCAAGCGAGCGGGTGGGAAGCGCTATGGGCGGACGAAGCAGCCCGCAGGCCTTGGCGGGAGCCCGTGCTGCCATGCGCAACGGTCACAGCAACGTCTCTGACCAGAAGCAGGCTGGGGACGGCAAGCCAAGATGGAGATTCTAAGCTGCTGTTCCTGGCTCGAATCGCTCCATCGGTTCGATTATACCTGCCTGGAAACATCCTCCTTTACCTCCAAGAGATGCATGACGAGATCACGGGCTTTCGAATTCTCCTTCACAGCTCCCGGAGCTGATACTGCTCTCGACTCGCACCAGCAATCACTTCATCGCGCGCGGCATCGCCTTTACCGTTCCTTCTTCCAGCCATCACCAAGGCTGTCCCTTTTCTTCTTAATTTTTCATTTTCACTTGTTCATGTTAGCGGGGACGCCTTGGCCTTATCCTTGTACACAGAGTGTTATGAACATGCGAAATCCAACAGCGGCTCCGTTTCGTGGCATCGACACGGCAGCCAACACTTTCTTGAACCTTGTTTGTTCGGTTGATTCGTCTGTCAACCAGGCCAGAGTGTACGTAATACGACGGAGGGATGGATATGAGGCGTAGGTGGCATCGTGCGTTCTTGGCGCACCTTCTTCAAGCTGTGTCAGATGGACACTGTGCCGGGCCTGGGCGACCTACCTCCTACTTGTCGACCTAGACCCCTCCCTACGCGAAATGCAGGGACGCGATGGGGCATGTTTTTGTTTGCTTTACAGAGATCAGAGCGCAACCGATACCCAAAACTTTTGTAAGATACCGATCAACAAGCGAATCTAGACCTCAATGACCCGGGTGGGTCAACGAGAGCCAATACACCCACGTATTGTTTTCATCATGCGTCGCAGACTGGTCTGTTCCGTCTCGCGTTCCCGTGTGTTGCTTACGATTGTTAGCTCTGCAGTAAACTGAGGAGACAGGCACCGAGACACACGGTATGACGCTTGGGGAGCTCTGATTGGCAGCATTGCGTGTGTGTGAGAGAACGTATGTGCAAGTATCGACGGGTGCTGCGAAGCAAGCAAGTCAAAAATGCCATTAGCGGTCGTTATAGCAACAAGTCCACGTGCAAATGCAGCCCAACGCCGTGTCGATGCAACCGATAGAAGATCTCTGCCTGTTTACCTAGGTTGCTAGTTAAACACATTAATCCCGAGCGTGTCTGTGGGAAAGCTTCCTTGTCTTTCCCCCTTTCCTCTTGGTGTATTTGTCTCGTTCGTTCCGCCGACTAGTTCATCCTCGCCCCTCCCAAAAAAAAAAAAAAAAAAAGGCACCTCCAGATCGTAACATTGAAATCCCAACGCCAGTCGAGTGGCCCGGCCCCATCTGTCCCCAAGAACCATGCCGCTCAAAGCGGCATCAGACCAAAGCCGCCACCACTGCCCGAAGCCTTGGCCCGAGCAGAGCTTCCGGCGGCGCCGCTCTTGCTGGCGGCCGCGGCCTTCTTGCCGAACGTCTTGCGCTTAGCGACACCGCCGCCCGAGGAGCGGCGCGCGTACGACTTCTTGCCGCCCTTCCAGCCGCCCGAGCTCCTCCCGCCGGTCCCGGAGCCCGCGCCGTTGCGCGAGCGCGACTTGGGCCGTGCACCCGCTGCCTCGCCGGCCTGGTCGAACCGCTCGTTCCACTCGCGAGCCTCGCGCTCCGCTGCCGTCTCGGCCCCGCCTTGGCCGCCGCCGCCGCTGCCGAAGTATCTAGACTGTTCAAAGCTGTCCTCCTGGTCGTCGTCCTCCTCCGCCTCGTCCGAGAAGAAGTTTTCTTGCGCTGGTTTCTTTCCCTTTGCGGTGGATCGACGAGCCTGCGCCGCCGCCGCTGGTTGTTTTCGTTGGTGGCAGCCAGGGCCGCCATGGCCATGCCTGTCTTCGTCGCCATCGCTCACGAGATCCACAACATCGTCATCGGCCCCGGCGCCATTAGTGCCCATGGCGTTGCGATAGAAGTTGTAGTACTTGAGCAATATGGGTAGGAGGTGGCCGCCGTACTTCTTGACGTTCTCCTGACTGATGCCGCTGATCTCGTACATCTTGCTCAGTGTTGTTGTCCACGTCGTGGCCATTATACGCAGCTGCTGCTCTGTGAAGAGCGCTTTGCGTAGGCTGTTGGTGTTGCGGATCCTCTCCTCGGCAAGCTTCGCATCTTGCACAAACTGCTCCACAAAGTCTCCATGGATCTCGTCTATCTCGGCTTCGCCGCCCCTGCTGCCTTGGACAGGTCCGCGCATCTCGTCAAGGGTTCGCTGGCGCCCCTTGGTGGGCGCGCGCATCGGCTCAAAGTATTCGTCGTCATCGTCGGCCTCTGATGATATTACGAAGCCGTCCTTTGCGTATCCATTTGCGTGGATCGATCCAGCTGGGGCCGCATCCGACTCTTCGTCATCCTCGACTTGCAGCTGTGCCCTGCCGCCGTTTTTCTTCCTGCTGTTTAGAACCGGGGAAGACACATTTGTGGACGGCGGGAGCCTAGACTGCTCGCCCGTGGCGCTCTTCTTGGTTCGCTTCTTGGGCAGTCCATCGGCATCCTGGTCTCCAGCGCCGCGGCCAACCTTAGTGACCAATTCGAGCTTCCGGGCTCCGCTGAGGAACTCGTGCGCTCTGGGACCAATCTATAGCGAGGGGAGGTTAGCGTGGTACCATGCATAGAGATCATCGTGGCACGTCATTTTTGTCCTCGCCACAGCCGATCCTGCCTAGGAGAGCGCGACTTACGTGGCAGTACGTGGCAACCATTCCCCCCTTTATGGGTTTGTTAACCTCCTCCAATGCTTCTTCAGCGGTTAGTCGGTACAAGATGTTGAGCACAACATGCTCCTTCAGGGGTTTGGCGGCGCCATATTGTTCTGGACGCTCGTGGTCTTTGGGGTTGTTCCTTCCAAGCAGAACATCGGCGCACTGTTTGGGCGTTGTCTGCCTTCGCGCCTGGATCACCTGCAGGGCTGCAACAGCCGTCTCAGTATGGTCAACAAGCTCAAAGTGGCCACCGTTGCGACAGTTGTCACATGTTTTGTTGCAGCTCGCGGGGTCGAACTTCTCGCCAAAGTACCGGAGGATACTCTGCCGGCGGCACTCTCTTTTGTCCTCGCAGAAGTCAATAACGCGGTTGAGCATCTGGCTCTGGCGGTCCCTTTGCTCCTGGTTGCCTTCGCCGTCGTTGATCATCTTGCGGAGGCTGGTGATGTCCCCGTAGCCGAAATAGAGGTAACAATGCGACTGGCCGCCGTCTCGGCCGGCTCGACCTGTCTCTTGGTAGTAACCCTCGAGACTCTTGGGGAGAGTGTGGTGGACGACGAAGCGGACATCTGGTTTATCGATGCCCATCCCGAAGGCAATGGTGGCTACGACCACTTTGATCTGTCCACTCTGCCACTTCCTCTGCACATCCGTCTTCTCCTCCGTCTCCATCTTGGCATGGTAGTGGTGGGCCGAGATTCCAGACTGGTCCCGGAGCTTCTTGGCAATCGTCTCTGCCGACTTGCGCGAGAGCGTGTACACGATGCCCGTCTCGCCCTCATGGTCCGACTGGATCAGATCGGCGATGGTCTGCACGATGTTCTTTCCCTTGGTGCGGATGTCATAGAAGAGGTTCGGGCGGTTGAAGCTTTGAGAAAAGATTTCGCATTGGGGAATGCTGAGGTTGAGCTTGATGTCGACAATGACGTGAGGGGTTGCCGTCGCCGTTAGTGCCATGACGGGCACCTTGGGATATCTTCGCCGGACCTCGCCGAGCGTCTTGTAGTCGGGCCGGAAGTCGTGCCCCCACTGGCTGACGCAGTGTGCCTCATCGATGACGATTCTGGCCAGCTTGTCGTTGCTATACACCTTGTCCAGAGCATTCAGGAAAGCCTGGCTCTTGCCAATCATCTCGGGCGTCACGTAGAGGAGTCTGACCATGTTCTCCGGATTCTTGCTGCTCCGGAGCGCATCCAAGATCATGTCGCGTTGTGCCTTGTCCACATCGCCACTGAACTGTCGCGCGAGGATGTGCAGGACCTTCAGGTGGTCGATCTGGTCTTGCATCAGACTTAGTAGTGGGGATACGACAATCGTCACTCCGCGCGTATTGCCCGTGTCAATGACAGCAGGCAGCTGGTAGCAAAGCGACTTGCCGCCGCCTGTAGGCATCAGCACGAATGCGTCTTTCCCACTAAGCGTAGCGTTGATGGCCTCGAGTTGGTTGTGCCGAAAGCCAGACATGCGAAAGTGATCCTTGAGGGCTCTCCTCACGTCGTTGGACCATGCATGTTTCATCAGATCGCGGGATATAGACGGCTTGGGCGCGGAATCCGACTTTTTGTCCCTTCTTGGTGGCTCCGTCCTTGACCTGGGCACGATTCTGGTGTTGCCCGACGTTTCTAGTAGCGCCGACCGCGAGGCCTGGGTCGATAGCGAAGGCCTGCTTGAAGATTCGCGTTCAAGCGATTCCGCAAACTGAACCATGCTGTCTTCGTCGTCGCTGAAGTAGTTGACTTCTTCGCCGGCCCAACGACTCGCAGATCTCGAGCCAGCCGCAGCGCGTACGGGAGGCTTGGGGGGCTGGGGTTGCGGTCGCCGAGGTAAAGGAGGATTGTCACACAACTCCATCATGTCACCATGGTCGTCATCGTCGTCGAGTAGCCCGTCAGAGAACGCGGCTCCGGTGGCCGCCGACTGTATTGCGGGCGTCCGACTGACAGGCACTCTGTTTTGAGGCATTGCCTCTCGCGGAAAGGGTGGTGGCTGCGGGGCTAGGATGCTGTCTCCGTACTTGTCCATGCGGCTGAGAACCGGTGGCCCCTTCGTTGGGACCTGGGTTTGACGGATAACCTGGGGCGCATTGTCCGCAATGGTCGACGTCGACATGCTTGCTTGCCTTGTCATCTGCGAAACGACCGAATGAGGGGGCGACTGGGTGCCAAAGACGACGTGGTGCGGCGCGCTACTAGGCTCAGCCGCCTCGCCAGCGTCCTCGAACAGTTCGAGATTGTTCATGCCAGCTGCCACAAGCAGATGCCGCAGGTTTTGCTCCTTTTCCTGGATCTGGTGGCTCATCTCGTCGGCGGCATCCTCATCCTCGGACGCCACCAATCCATTCTCGAACTTTTCGACCAGCTTCTGGACCAGGGTGTCCTTGCGTTCTTTCAAGGCCTTGTGCGCATCATACTCGGCGCCGAGAGCATCGAGAGTCTTCTGCTGTTCTGAGAGCCGCTTCCGGTTCTCCTTGACCTGCTCTTTTCGGTCCCTTGGCCAGTTGTCGCTGAGGGCCCGCATGTAGTCGGCAGACAGCTTTTTCATCTCAGTCTGGATTTCCTGACGCTTTCTCCTTATGACACCAGGATTCCTGAGAAACAGGTCCATGATCAGGGTGCTGCCGTCCGAGTCCGAGCTGTGTGCAACAGGCTTTTCCGGCTCGGCATTATCCACATGGGGCGCGGGCGAGATCTCTCTCTGTCGCTTCCTCGACGGAGTTTCACTCCGTGGAGACCGGCCCTCAGCGACATGGCCAGTGGAGTCATTGGCGCGCTGCGTGCTTTCCTCGCCCTCGCGGTCAGACTGAGACCCGGACACGCAAGAGAAAAAGGAAATATGTTCTGTCTGGGGCGTGAGAAATTCGTCCTCGGAGTCCTGAATGACAGCACTGTCCCTTGGTTTCCTGCTCTTCTTCCGACTTGGCCCTGGGGTGCTGCGCGGCTCCCCCACGCTGGTATCTTCCACCGCCCCCCTGGTGCTTGGGCGCCTAGGTGAGGCTTCGTTGCCCAAAGGTGCCGCTATTGGAGCCGTTGCCGGTACCGCAGAGCCCTCGGCGAGCGCAGCAACGCTATCCGCACGCCGCACGCGTGTCTTTGTTCTGCTGACCGTCTCAGTCACCGTGTGCTCCTCGATTACTGAGGTTGCATACGACGAGGCCGCTGCTACGCGGGCCTTAATTGGCGTGTTCTGGGAGCTTGGAAGCCCTTTTGACAAGCCCCGTTTTGGCCGCGTCGAGCCAAGCTCGGTGAGGGTGTGTACATCGGGGAACTCATCGTCGTCGTCGTCGACGACGGGCTGCTTTTTCTTGGGTGTAGGTGTGACCTTACTCATCTCCACACTCTTCCGCTTCTTGCCAGACTTCCTGGGCAAGGGCTCGGGGCGAGACGCACAATCCTCGGTCCACAGCCGAACGTCCCGGTGGGGTGAGGACTTGATGGGGGCATCATCGGACGTGAGGTCGATCGAGTCAACACCAGAATAGATGTCGGACGTGAAGACGGGACTTCGAACAGCGGCGGTAGATGCCGGGGCCGGCGTGGCTGGCGGTTCTTTCTTTGCGGAGCGCGCATTTTTGCGATCGACCAGCTGAGAAAAAGCCCTCTGGAGTGGGGGGATGCTGCTGGTCGAGTCCGGGGTTGGCAGCGGCTGCTCCTTCACCATCAACGATGGCTTCTTGGATTTTGCGGCGGATGTCAGTCTCGCCATCCCTCCTTCGGCGGCGACCGTGTCTAGTCTCCGGGGAGGCTGCACGGCATCGGCGACGGAGGGCGGGCCACTTGGCACGGCTGTGGACCGAGCGGTGGGCGTGGGGTCGGTGGGCGATAGGGCCGGGACCGCAGAAGCCTGCGGCTGGGACCTCGTGGTCGAGACTTGGCTAGGCTCGGACTGGCTGCCAAAGCTATCGGGGGCACTAGGCAGCGAGGGCCCCGCGGGCAAGGTGATGGAGATGTCGCGGAGTAACCAAGAAAGCTGGTCGCGGAGGTTGTTTCGCGTCATGAAGCCGTGCCGGAACCAATGTCCCCTGACGGATACGCCGGCATCGAGGCTGTCAAAGACAGTCGGGGGAGGGTCCTGGGGATGATGGCATCGATGAACCCGTCCGTCTGCTGTGGTGGCACGCAATCGAGGGTTTCGTCGTCGGTCGGTATGTCGGCCAATTCGCTGGTGGTGGGTCTTGAATGCCTCCTGCTGAGGATGGCGAAAGTGGCACGCGTTGGAGCCCACGAAGAGCGTGTCGAGGGCGCGTGGTCAGGTGCCCCACCCTTAACGCCTTCATGCCTGCACGCACCTGTTGACCCACCCGGGCGTCTTGCAGCGAACTGGCGACTAAGATTGGTGATTGCCTATCTGGGACATGGGATGGCCTCATTTGAAGCCTTCCTCTGAAAGCCACACTCACGATTGTGCACCGTGTCAGAAACCTTGGTGTCGTGTTAGGTCAATTCTAAATTCCCGAACCCTCACCAGACAATATTACCTGCCTTTGCCTGAGCACCACTTCGCTCTCCACGTACCTAGACTTTCGACTTCAATCTCTATCTGGCAAACAAGAAGGGGGATACGGCCAACTCCATTTTTGGCCTGATCGGAAACACTTTCATAGCATTCATTGCCAAAAAAAAAACCGCCATCGTCGTGACCACTTCCAATCACATCACACGCAGCTTTCATTCAACTTACGTGCTTATCCGTGCTCCAGAGCTCCCAAAACGACTGAAAACTACCTTCAGGGCTGTATGATTTGTGTTCCTTTCTCGTGCTTATAATTTTCCATATTTTCTCCATTTCGTTGCCCGTCTTTAGGCCTTCGTTGGATTCCCAAGTCGGCCACTATCGCTGTTGTGGACATATCCAGTTCTTTGGAGCCAGCTGGATGCGACATTGAATGATCAAATCCGATTGATGAATTCAGGTCCTGGGAGGTCCTTGAACGGGCTGGGACGGAGAGAAATCTTGGGCTGCGTAAATGGCCTGTGAGGCACAATCCCCAGCCCCACCAGGAGTATTTCTAATTGGACCGCCGGGCTGCCCACTGAATCAGACCCGTCGCGAGCCCCCGCCATTTGCGCAAACATGCACTCATTCCATTCAAGCTTAGAGCTCAGAACAGCACCAGCGCGGATATCGTCAGACCAACAACCCCTTCGCTCAAAGAGACACTGCCTCGTCAACCAGCAAGCCATCCTCTCTCCCCATTCCGCGGCCACCCAGCATGGAGAACGGAGCAATGACCCAAGGCGAGGGCAAGGACCCGACAAGCTTCCTCAGCGACATCATCGGCAACATGGTCACCGTCAAGCTGAACTCGGGCGTCATCTACAAGGGTGAGTTTGGGAGCCCCGTCCGGCTCTGGCCTATGCCGAGCAACGGCAATTTGCTCCTGCCCCCGGCACTGCTGACGATGCCGGGTCCCTTCGCAGGCGAGCTGCAATCAGTGGACGGCTACATGAACATTGCCTTGGAGAAGGCCGAGGAGTGGGTCGCCGGTCAAAAGAAGCGGTCCTACGGCGACGCCTTCGTTCGTGGCAACAACGGTGGGCATCATCTCTTCGGCCTGGAGCGCCTCTGGCTTTACGCACAACTCTCTGATCCATCTGCTGACCTTCTCCCTCAGTTATGTATATTGCGGCCTCATCATAGCTTGTCATGCGCTGCGCTTCTAGCAGCAAGGGCGAGAATTTTAGTCTTACCCATCTGCGTAAACCCCAATTCATTGCTTTTCTTATCCTTTATCGCCTGCCACTCTACCTCTTGGATTTTGAGGGATAGTAGAGGGGGAAAATGCACAATGAAGAATCTGTTCCTTTTGGCGATGGCGCCGATGCGCTCATGATGAAGGTTATAGGTCATAAGTATCTTGGGTCTTCCATGCTAGTCCTTTATGGGGAAATCCATTCCGACAATCCATGGAAAAACGAACAGGGAGTTTTCCGAAGGTTCCTGCCTCTATAGGGGCGACTGCCCGCGGGAGTGGCGCTTGGCGCTCGCCCTGCAGAAAGGGGGCGCGGCGTGACAAGTAGAGTCAAGTATTCTTCGCCATAAGCCCCTTATTGGTAACCCATCTCGCTTCTTGCCTCTGCTTTCCCAATCGAGCTAATACCCGCCGCCGATCTTGTCCGTCCAGGCGAGGTACGTGATGTCGTGAAGGGCGATCTCGCCCTTGTCGTTCCTCTCGACGTCGGGGCCTTCGAGGGCCTGGTCGAATATGCGCCTGGCCTCGTCCTTCTGGGCGTCCTTGAGGACAGCCACCTGGCTGAGTGTGTTGATACGCTTCCACATGGCGTCCTTCTCGAGCCAAACAGTAAAAGGTATCCGCTGCTCGCCAATCGGCAAGCTAAAGCGCGGCAGGTGGTCCGCCATGCCGTCCCTTAGCGCCCGAATGGGGTTGTTTGAGAGCTGACGCGTAAAGACTTCCTGCCACTTGGAGTGCCGAAACCGGAGGTGGCCGTCCTCCGGAAGGGCGTGGACAAAGTCGCTCAGCTTCTGTTCCCACTGCGTGCTGGCCGGCCACGACATGGGCTTGTTGTCTGTTGTTCAAGGGTCAGTGACATGTATTGATGGCGGCCCTGTCACTTAGGAAGGGGCAAGAGCTTCTGTAATGGACTTTGGATGGCTAGGAATTATCAGTCAGGTGATCTCACAGTCCTCGATGTTCCAAACGAGCCCCAGGACAGCCATTGGCTTCAGGACTCTTGCCATTTCGTCCAGGGCCTCGTCAGTCGCGAACCTTGACAGAAACCAGGGTCAGCAAGGAGTATGCAGAGCAAGACAGGTAAGCACGGGTGCCTATACGGGCACGTTTGCAGATATGCAAAGGGGGCTACTACCAGTGGAAAGCCTGTGCGACGATACAGGCGTCCCCCCACGCCCCCTCAACCGGAAGCAGGGTAGCTTGTCCGTCCAGCACCTTGACACCGTCAAGATTCTTGTCCTCGAGCTGCTTGCGCATGCTGTCCAGCGGCTCGATGGCCACGATCTCGAAGTTCTCCGGCCGCCGGGCGAGGACCTCTGTGAACTTCCCCGTGCCCGAGCCGACCTCGATGATCCTTGCTCCTGGTTTTCCCGCGACCTTCAGTTTCTCCAGAAGGGCCTGTACGGCTTCGGGCAGGTATGATGGCCGGTGGGCATCGTACGCCTTGCCGTCCTTGAAGCCTTCGGACGCCGCTTTGGGCATCTCGAAAGATGTGCTGGACGCCATGGTATCGAGGGGGAAGGCAACACAGCCTCGTGGCCACCTAGATATGAAATTGGATCGACGGGTGAATGTGAGAGGTGATAAATAATAATAGCAATAACATGAGGCTGGTAGATACCTACCCAGATACCTAACTCAATATTCTCCCCCTAAAACAATTTGCCCCCAAATCTGGATTGGGCGCCGACCCTAAGCTGCCGCTGATGTAACCTGAGCTACAGGCAGTGCAGGGTGCTCAGAGGTGAGCCACAGGGTGGTCACGGGTGATTACCTACCTAGTTATTAAGAGCGGTATCCTGTACCAACAGAGTGATGTATCTAAAAACCAAGAGCTTTGGAATTTAAATGCGCACACGGAATGAAAAGTCGTGAGGGGTTTTGGCCTGTCCGGCATCCTTTCTTGAGGGAGTTGCCCCACACACGCACCGACGAGGACACTGTAAATGGGGCAAGATGGGTCTATCGGCCATACATCCACCCGCGTTTTTGGTAATTGGTGTGCTTCCAGACGCACTCCGAATCTTCTCAACCCTCACGTATGTTGGCCTGCCCCCCACCCTCACGGCCGCGTTGCAGGGGACTCGGCAGGCCACACAAGCACTTTGCAGTAAAACGTGGCGAGAGACGAGAGAGGTCACAAGCCTGCGAGCTTCTATTCAAGCACTCAATCCCAATGGGTGCGCCGTAATAGTATCGCCGAGGGGCACCTTTGCCCGGCGACAACGGACGCCCAAGGCCGAACAGCAGACCGCTAGCATAAAAGTCATTGCCATGTCAAAGGACGCCCTGACCGCCGTCGTCGGAGTACAGAATCCATCGGGGGACCTGCAGCTGCCATTCTCGAAACCGCGACTTATTAGACATATTACAGTCGGGTTACGGCATTTTTCCGGATCCAGTCGGATGACAGTGCAGCAGAGTTCAGCTGAGGAGGCCGTTTAAAGAAATGATTGGCACAACCCGCAGGGAGCCTGCAGGTGGCTTGGTGCCAACGTTGTTTGTACCTCTGGACTTGAGGCTCCTTGGACGACAGCGGGCGGCGAGGAGCAGCGCAGCGGCGGGGGTCCCTCCCTCTTCTACTCCCTTTATTGTGCTCTCAAGCTGTGCTGCCCCTCACTGTGACTCGGTGTCGAGCCAGCCAGCGTGCTCTCGGGGATCCAAACAGTGTTTTGCGTCAATCATCCGTTGCACTCTAGCTGCCTTGGGTCCGTTTGTTCATCATGTCGGAAGATACCACGGCACAAGAAGCAGCGCTCAAGGCTAATCGAGCGCTCTGGCGCCGCGCGCTGGCCAACTTGCGCGAGGGCGGCGGCGCGGGCGGCGCTGGTGACAACCAGGACGCCGGCGACGACGAAGAGCTCACGCTCGAGCTCGTCCAGGAGACGCTCCAGGTCGCAAAGCGTCTCCAGACACAGCACGACAAAGACCGGACCAGATTTACCATTCGCAACAAGGAGTACGTCGTCGCCGAGATCTTCGGGCGTATTGTGACGCGTATCGACGCCTTCAAGAGCGCCATCGACAATGGCGTGGCTCTCGACGTTAGCGGGCAAGCCGCCCTCCCCTGGGCCGCTGTCAAACTCGTCCTTGGGGTGAGTGTCTTGTTGGCGTCGCTTGCGGCTATTTACTGCAGGCTCTGATGTTCTCTGAATCCTTGTAGTTCCTTGTAAATTACCAGAAGCAGAAGGACGCCGTCATAGCAGGTCTCGCCACTGTCACGTACGTGCTCACATACTACGCTGAGCTCGTGGCGCTTTACGTCAGAAACAGGGCCGCGCCTCCGTCCGGTCAAAACCCTGGGGACCCGAGCCAGACCTTGATTGGCCACCTGAAAGATTCCATCGTCGCAGTCTACGCCCGGACGCTGCAGTTTCTTGGCGATGTCATCGGATTCTATGGCGAGCAGCCCGGGCCGTCCGACGAAGCGACTGGCAAAACAGGAAATAAGACGACCGGTACATCTCTACGTAATGGTAAGGTTTCTTCCCGGCCAGACGATATGCATTCCATGCCAGCGATATAAATTTTGCTTGTCGCCAAGATGTACATAACCTGCCAACAGCTCAACTGCTGACTTCCTCCCTTGCAGCTGCCCATAAGCTCCAGAAGCAGCTGAAGCGAAAGGGTGACGCTCTCAAGCGGGCTATCTTGGACACTGAAGAACCTTACCTGGCTTCTGTCTCGGACATCGAGGCCGGGAGAACGAAGGTGGACTTGTGGGTGAATCTGGTTAGGCGCGAAAGTCGGTGCTTCCTACTCCAACGACAGTTGACTAGCAACGAATACCTTGAAATGGCATCTACTAACTACTTTACCAAGAGGCTAGCCCAACTGCAAATGGCTGAGTTGCTTGATGGAATCTCCGCATGTCAGTTTTATCTCCCTGTCCAACCCCTAGTTTCGAGTTCAAGCACCAGGGGCGCCAAAGTCATATAAGTTGACACAACCTATGACAGCACTGCAAAATCGCCAGGACCGAGAGTTGCTAGATTGGCTATCCGACTTTTCCTCCATCCGGGACCATGCAAACTTCAGCTTTTCCCGGCTGTTCGACGCCGCAATGTGGATCCTCCACCTCGACGCATATCACCATTGGATGGTGTCGTCAACGGCCTCTGCGCTATGGATTCACGGGTCCCGTATGTCCTTCTGTTATCTTCTGCAATGTTTTCGTATAGGAGGATGCTGACTCTTAAACGTGATGTTACAGTCGGCTCCGGGAAATCGACGCTAATGTAATCAGCTTCCATTCCACTCTGCCTGGGCAGGGGTGTACCCTGAGGAAGCTTGATACGGCAGCTAACAAGGTCCTCCAGGTCACTCATTGTGGATGGCTTTCTGACAGACCTCCGCCCGCAGCCGTCCGCGCCTGTGGTTTTCTTCTATTGCGGCAATCTACCTCGCACGGCCGACGAGTGTGCTCGGGACATGCTGCGCCAGCTCGTCCAGCTAAACCCGTCGACAAGCCCTATGGCCCTGAAACTTGCCCACGGTGCTGGGAGGATGCCCGACGGCAGAGAGTGCCTCGATATGTTGAACAGCATAATTACAAGGGATAACTACAGCGTCGTTACCTTTGCCATTGATTCTCTGGATAAGATGGCATCACCGAAAGACGGAAGTCCGGCAAATGCTCTGACTCCAATGGGCCTGCTTTTAGACCTGGTTAAGCTGGCCCAGAGGAAGACCAGCCAGTGTCTCGTCAGGATATTGGTCACAACGCAAGGAAGAAATAGCGGGGTGGAGCGCGTTTTCGCGGATAATCGCGCCATGTTGCAAGCTCGCGAGATTTCCGTGGATAATGAAGCACCCAACAACATCCGACATTTTGTGGAACACATCGTACACAACTGGAGCAGTGCGGACTTCCTGCCATCTGAACCCGACGACCTGACAGCAAAGGCCAAATCGGCAGTCATTGATTATGTGACACGCGGCGCAGGCAAGATGTGCGGGTGCATCCCTTTCTCTTTTTCCCTACGCTCATTTTGGCTGTTATCCAAGACATTGACAATAAAGCCTGAAAATGTAAAACTCCAGGTATCTATGGGCCATCCTTACGCTCAACAGGATTCGAAACAATCCGGCCCTAACACGGGAGCGGGACGTGCAAACCCAGCTCAAACAGCACCGGCTTCCGAGCGACATCCTCCAGTCATACGAAAAGATCTGCTCCGGTCTTCAAAGCGACAGTGCCGGGGGATTACCGAGCAGCGGAAACGCCCAGAAAGCTATGCACTTGCTGTTTTCCGCGCGAAAGCGTCTGGCAACGCATGCGCTTGTCGAAGCAGTTTGCCCTTCGGTTGCCAACGGCCGTGCGACCGGGGCCGCCGGGTACCAGACTACGGCCCAGGACATTATCCAATGCAGCGGGGGTCTGATTGTCGAAGACCGGGACGAAGACGTTTTCGTTTTTTTCCATCCATCCGTGGAACAGTACCTCGAGAGCCGCCCCGACTATCTGCTTCAGTCAAACGCCGCCATGGCCAAGGCGTGCGTGTCGTATCTCCTTGAATTCTCGACCCTGGCGCAGCGGGCCCGTGGGCGAGGAAGAAACACCAAGGGGCCGTCCGACAGCAGGTTGAGAAACCGATCTAGATCGAGAAGTCGATCCAGAAGAAGACAGTCCAGAGCCGGCGGCCGGAGCCGGAGCCGGAGCCGGAGCCGGAGCTGGAGCGGAGACGGAGACGGAGACAGAGACGTTGCACCTAGCTACTCGGTCAGCCGGGGAAGACGGCAGCCCTTGAGGACGAACAGACGACAAAAAGTCAGCGGTGATGACCTTGTGCTCCAGGATTTTGAAGAATATGCCCACATCTACTGGGCGACGCACTTGGCCGCATCGCGGGCGGCCGGGAAGCAAGTTGCCGATTATCAACAATTGCTTACTGATACCTCCATGCTACTCGACGGCAGAGGTTTGGCTTGGATGCAAGGCGTGCACAAGTTGTTGTCGCAAAGGCCGATGGAGTTCTACGGCGCTACAGTTGAGCTGCAGCTGCAGCAATGCATGTGCTCTCATTCCCGTGCATGGCTACTGGTATCCGCAGTTTACGGCCTCCCCGAGCTCGTCGAACCCCGACTGAAGTGGGATCGTCCGCCGTCGTGGTGGAACAACAGAGAGGTGGTGAACGACAGCGGTTCATCAGCCTTGCACCTAGCCGCCAAGTTTGCCCATATTCCCCTGCTCAACCTCCTTGTCAAGATTGGTATATACCCCCAGGTATTTTGGGAGCGGGACGGTGAGCAGAAATATGCGCTACAACATGCGCTCGAGAATGTGACCAGTCCACCAACGAAGCAGGAGCTCAAGACATGGATTGACCTGTACAGAACGCCAATGCCCACGAGCGAGATTGTCCCTACCGCAATCCGATCCGCAATGCAGAATCCTTTCTGTGCCGAGGAGTTGGTCGATGTGATGTTTCGATTGTTTCCGAGCATCCAGTACGACAACAAGCTTCTGCTCGAGGCTGCCGTGAGCTACGCGCACTGCTCAGTCGGTCTTCTCAACAAAATCGTTACGACCGACTCTGAACTTGGCGAATCCATTCTCATCGCTGCGGCCAGGTGCTCTAGCGACACGAGAACGCTCTCGACGCGCATGGGGATATGGGATCGACTGGTCCCCGAGGGTCAAGGCAAGCGACTGGTGACGGATCAGGTCGTCGTGGCCGCGATCAAGGCTGGCAATGTGGACTTAACCGACCGTCTACTCGACGTCAGCGACCTGGTGGTCTCGAGCCAGATGCTGGAGCTTGCGGTCGCGCATCCACGGCACGCTCTGGGCCTCGTCGAGGTGCTCCTAGCAGGTGACGAGGTGGTTGAGACGACCGAAAGTATCCTGGCATCGGCTTTGTCCAACCCGGCGGTCAGCACAGACCTCCTCAAGTTGCTGCCCAAGCCTCGTCACGAAATTAATATCACGGAACCAATGCTGGTCCTGATGGCTGGGAACCGAGCTTGTGGTGGCGAATTGCTGCACTACATTGCGAGGATGTCACGCATACGAGTGGGGAAACCGACCGCTCCTGTATTTCAAACAGCTTTGGGCGTGCTGAATTTGCCGTTTCTGGAAGAGATGCGCAAATTGTGTCGGGGGCGCCTTAGCGATCGATACAAGCTGGACAAGGAGGAGCTGCTTTTGGCGCTTCGCCAGCCCTTCGGAGGTTCCGGTTTGGACCAGCCTCTCGCCGCATGTTATCCCACGACGCCCACACCGCTGACTCGTCCCGAACGCTCCTGGGACTCTCAGATGGCCGAGGCGATGAAGCTTCTGGCCAGCTGTTTTGAGGGTGACTGGCTCGCCCCTGTTATCGAGTTCGAGGATACATGGCCAATGGCGGAACACCATGGGCCTGCAGTGATGGGCTTCCTGTTTACTGCTACCCACGAAAACATCCCGCCCCCGCCCATAGAGCTACTTCTTGCAGCAGCGAGGAATAGGCAGTACGGTCCTGAGATTTTCGAACTTATTTCGAAGGCGCCCGGCTGTGGAATCGGCGCACTGCTCCACCGATATCCAGAAGTTGCTACAGAGGTTATCCACAGAGGCGCCGCCCGTCTTTTGAAGTACATCCAAGAACGGAAATCAGATCCGTTTGGCCGTTCTGCTGGGCTCAACATGCGCGCTGCTGCTTCTAATCCAGACCCAGGAGTGGCCAAGATAATCTTTGGAAAGTTCATTCCTGTGAAGATGGAGGATCTCGTGACGGCAGCCGGCAACTCGGACGACGTGCTGGAGTGCCTCATGGAAATGCCTACAGCGCCGCGGGAAAGGCCGGCGCAACTGCTGACAGCCATCGCGGGCGGTTGCAAACGAACCCGGACGCTGCGGCGGGCGCTCGAAGGGTCGACGGTGCAGCTGGGAACGGGCGGCACCCTCGACGCGGACCTCGCCCTTGCGGCCGCGTCCAACAGGCACGGCATCGAGATGCTCATATTCGTGCTCGCTTGCTCCTCCTCCCAGCTCGGCCGCCACGGAAGGAGCGGCGGAACCCCCACGCCCGCCCCCAGCCTCGCCGACAAGCTGGGAACCCTACCGCCGGATCCGTACAAGGTCTTGGACCTCCCCAATAACGCCAAGCTGGACGTCATCAGGAAGCGGTACCGGGAGCAGGTGCTCAAATGCCACCCGGATAAGGTGCCTGAGGCTGAAAGGGCCGAGGCCATCAAGCGCTTCAGCGCCGTCCAGAACGCCTGGGAGATCCTGGGCGACGCCGGCAAGCGCGAGGACTACCACGAGCTCGTCCAGCAGCACAAGCTTGCCGAGAAGCGCCGCCCGGAGATTAGCAGCTCGATGTTCGAGCGCGCGGCGGCCAACACCGGGGCGGCGCCCGAGATGCTCAGGGTGCTGCTCAACCGGTGCGCCGACGAGGACGTTGACAAGCTCATCACGCGGAAAGTCCTCGCGGCCGCGGCATCCAATGTGAGGGAAGGGGCCGAAGCGCTCCGCGTGTTGTTGATGGAGGGGAGCGCCGCTACCAGGGTAGACGAGCATGTAAGGGCTGCGGCGCGCACGGAGGAGGCGCGGGAAGTTCTCGCTAAAGCGCGTGAAGAGGTCCTCGAGATGATCATGGGTCGCGGGGAGGTGAAGCAGAACAAGGAGGCACGTCGTGGCCTTCCCCTGATATGAATTTCCACCCCTGTTCATGCTGAACTTGGCTCACAGCAGCCAGATCACGCTTCATCTGTCGATATTTGAGTACGCCCTCAAAGGCTCCCCTCCAAAAAAAAAAAGAAAAAAAAAGTCAAATGCCATAGTTCCTTCCGCTGCAAGTGAAGAGACTCATCGAAACGATCATTACGAAATCTGGCACATCGCATAATCCTTCAAGGAGGCAGACATGCTGCCTCGGGTATCTTCATCAGAGTATTCTTCATGACCCAAATTTTACCAAGGCTCGTGTGTTGGGGTTGCCCCTTGAGCAAACCCTCATGATGCCAGGTTCTCTGCAGCGACATGGTTACCTACCTACCTAGGTACCTATCCGCCTGCCCTGTATTGTCATTGGATGGGCTCGCGCGGCTCTGGGATGGAATCTTGAGAAGCCGGGGTCCACATGTATGTACCGAGGCAACTCAGATTTCAGGTTCACTAATCAACAACGGCCAACAAACTGCCCCTGGTAGTTTTCGCTGCATCTCTGGAGCCCTGTCGTTTAAGCTCATACCGAGCCTAAAACATGCCGCAACATGTACAGTGGGAGGACAAAAATACCGCGGAACTTTTAAACCCCACTTATAAACATTGCAATTTCAAAATGCTATAACTTTATCCACAATACGTGCACGATAGTAAAATAAGTTATTTTATAAATACAACTAATGGTTTTATAGTATATATAAATTTTAAAACATATTATTAAACGGTTATTTTTTAATTAATTATATATTAAATTACAATTTTTAAACACTTTTTATCGGGGTTTAAAAATATATTACTAATTAAAATAAAAATAATTTTTATGTATAACTTGGTTTTAAAACGTTTTGTAGCTTTTAAATAATACGTGTACCAAATATTATATAAAGTTTACATATAAATATATATTTTTAATTGCGTTTTAAAATATAGCAAATTTAATTATTAAAAAACGTATTTACTTATATAATTTATTATAAATTAAATACAAAGAAACAAAGTAAAATAAAAATTGGGCTGTGTAGTAAAATAAACGGTTTAGCACGTAATATTTTTATTTTACGCATATTTATTTGTATACCGTGGTTTTTCTTTATGCAAACTGCTGCTATTTTATTTTGAAAAAGTTCCTCGGTATTTTTGTCCTCCGACTGTACGTTGAGTAATCAGCATGGGAATTGAGGTATCGTAATCTCAAATCTCCTTTGCAAGATAATAAAGGGCACATTCTGGCCGTGTAGCGAAGGCATTCCAACTCTGATGACATGGAAAAGTGCTCGTTTTATCCTGCAAGGCCAAGATTCTTCTTGGAATCACGCACACACACAAATTACTTTCAGAACCCGGGCCGCGGAGTACACAGCGAAGTCGCCTCATAATGACCGAGCTATCGCAAAGGCCGGGTGCGTCCGCAACCGGGCCCTCGACTCCCAACTCGGAAGGCAGCTCCGGAGAAGTCGGGAGAAAGCTTCAGACTGATGGAAACGAGTCTAGCATTTATAGCGGAAGCGTCCATGGCCAACCAGGAACCGTACAAAGCCACCAGAGAGTCGTGGAGGCGGTGCAAAAGGAGATGCCAGGCTGGGACTGGGACTCGGATCCGATAAACCCTTTCAACTGGCCGAGAAGTAGGAAACTGGGTCAAGTATGGATGGCCGCTTCTGTGAGCCTTGCTGCGTAAGTTGTTCCACACCCAGGCCTGTTACTCCAAGGTTGCACTGCAAAAGATATCTGTTGCCTTCCGCTCGGATGGGCACTGCATAAAGCGCTGGTAGACTGACGCCCCTGGCTGGCAGGACGTTCGGCACATCCATCATCACCCCCGGCCGTGGCCAACTGATGCAAGAGTATGGCGTGTCCGGCACCGTGGCCATCCTGCCGCTTTCCCTGTACGTGCTCGCCCTCGCCCTCGGCCCCATCGTCGGCGGGCCGCTCTCCGAGACGGTGGGTAGGTACCCCGTGTATATGGCCTCCACGCCGCTGGGCGTCGTCTTCACCGTCGGCGCGGGCCTCTGCCCAACCTTCGCCGGCGTCTGCGCCCTCCGGTTCCTCGCCGGCTTCTGCGTCGCGCCCTCGCTCGCCATCGTCGCCGGCGTGCTGAGCGAGACGTTCCGCCCGGCCGAGCGCGGCCTGCCCTCGACCGTCTTCCTCCTGATGACCTTCATGGGCCCCGGCGTCGCGCCCGTCGTCGGGTCCTTCGTGGTCCAGCGCCAGGGCTGGCGCTGGTCCCAGTGGGTCCTGGCGCTCTTCCTCGGCTTCGGCCTGGCCGTCTCCCTCGCCCTCGGCCGCGAGACGTACCACCCGGTCCTGAAACGCCGGCGGGCCAGGCAGCTCGGTCTCTCCGGAGAGTCGTCGGGGTCTTGGAGAGCTAGGGCCGGCGAGTTCGTCACGATTGCGCTTGCGAGGCCGCTGCACATGCTTTTCACGGAGCCCGTCGTGGGCTTTGTGTGTCTGTACGTGGCGTGCGAGTTCGCCACGCTCTTCAGCTTCTTCGCCGCCGTTCCGTACGTTTTCGCCACTGTGTACTCGTTTGCGCTCGAGCAGTCCGGGCTTGTCTTCCTCGCCATGGTTTTCGGCTGCATCCTAGGCTCCCTGACCGTCGTCCTCTGCGAGATCCTGCTCTACCGTCGGCAGTTGCTCAAGTACGCGCCAGGCGGAGTACCACCGGAGCATCGACTGTATCCCGCCATGGTCGGGAGCGCCTGCCTTCCTTTGGGGCTCTTTTGTATGTCAAACCGAGCTGGCTACCTTTTCTTATGCCAGGTGGCAATCCCTGTTAGGGCTATATGACTGACGATGCCGCGATTTATAGGGTTTGCCTGGACTGCCCGTCCAGAGATATCGTGGGTGAGCCCCGTCGTTGCCATCGTTCCATTCGCTATGGGGAACTTTTGCATTTTTGTCAGTCTAACTCAGTATTGTAAGTATTCTTCTGCTTCTGGAAATGGTCAACCAAGCCCCGTTCCGAAAAGGCAAAGACCAAAAGTACGTCGTACTTCGGGAGCGTCGTATTGCGGAAGAATACAGAGCCTAACAATCCTTGTTCACTTACCCCTAGTAACCGACACGTATACTGGCTCCAACATTGCGAGCGCTATGAGTGCCAACAGTCTGGCGAGGTATGGTCTGGCGGCAGCCTCGCCCCTTTTTACAGTTCAAATGTACTCAACGCTCGGAGTGGCATGGGCTGGTACATTGTTGGGACTCATCGCCCTCGCGTTGATGCCTGTGCCCTGGGTCTTCTTCAAATACGGCAAGCAGATCAGGGCACGGAGCCAATATGAGACATGTGCGCTTTAAAAATAGCCGCCCAGGAATAACAGGCCGACCAAGTGCAACCTGTCTTGGGTGACAGACTCAACTGATCCGCGGATTGTTCCGTGCAATAGCAAGGACACCCAGACAGCACAGGATTAGGTATAAGAACATCACCAGGAGGTAGTTGGCTCGCTATGCTCAGAGATCTACTTGGGGATATTGTACTGCTGGGGACGTCACGATATCCTGTCGCCATGCCGTTGCTTACTGTCTCATGCTAATTTTAATGGGTATTCCGCCCTTCGCCTGTGAACTGAGGACTTCCTTCGAGTATGCCTGATAACCGATATCGCCGAAGAGTCTGGGGCCGTCAAGCGGGAGTTGACAACCACCTGTCCGATGATGTCTACAAACAGACGCGTCGTGTAATCGAGGATCTGGACCGTCTCCCCGCCACGCGCAGCAGACCGCAGGAAATCCAGGTATATAGACGTTTCTCGGAGCATGGCCGGGACTAATTTCAGGATGTTGATGCTTGAGAACCCTAAATTGAGAGCGCTCCTCCAAGTCTTCCACTGGCGACCATTTGTCGAGACCAAGTCACGGCCTTGAGTCAGTGGATGGAATGCTACAGAGCCGAGATGGTCGGGCTTGAGAAGGCTGTGCTCCTGCGTTAATTGAGCCATCATGTCCGGATGTGTAACGACTAGCATGGGGAAGTTGATTGGGAGGACGTCGAGATAGAAGGCACCGGCCGCAGCCATATCAGGATACTCTTCAATAATCAGACGACCAATCAAACCTATACAAACGTCACTTAGAGCTTTGCTTGTGACCTTGGCCACGGAGCCCGCGTGACCGAAAAGAAGCCTGTGAGAGATCAGGGGCTGCGAATTTGGGGGTTAGTGGTGGCGGCTCAAGGCATCGCTAAGACCTTGAGCGACTCACGATTCCGTGTTCTCGGGCGACACGTCTAACATATAGTCTAGTCGTGACAAGCCTGTAGATGAGACGCGAGAGCTGGGGGAGAAGGGCCAGCCCCACGACACGAGCCGTGAGGGCCCAAGAGATCTGACCCAATACCGGAAGCATAGTAGCAAGGTGGGTAGTGTTTGACTTGCTTGAAGCCGCTGGAATGGAAGGGAAATGCCGCCATGCCGCCATCACACGGCGGGCCGCATTTTATACACTAAAATGCTGCACGCCCGCTCAGCCCACTGCCTGGGAGCGGGCAGCGCAGCAGAGTCCGACGATGCGAACACACCAATCCTATTTGCGAGCCCAGGGACCCGCAAGACCAGGAGGCATCGTAGATAGGTTGATTGATGTTCGCCGATAGCGTTCGTTCCTTCTTAGGCTACCGTCTAGTTATTGAGGCAGCAAGATATCACGATCCTCACGATGTGGCGCGGACGAAAGCCGTAAATTTGATATATCGATGTGGAAGGGGTCCATGTTAGTTAGTCAACCGGACGAACTGGAGACCCTGCACGTCGTCATCGTCGTCCAGCGGGCCTAATCTGGGGCCACTGAATGGGTGGAGTTGTGGGTACCAGGCCACATCCTTGATTGGTCTCCGACTGTATGGGTCCTCGCCTATCTCGCTGTATCACGCAATGCCATAACGCGTGTTTCGAGGCAGCACGTGAAGCCCTAGCAATTCAATACCTATGTTTCGACAGTAAAAGGACGACTACTGCACCAACTAGTGAGATTCGCGAACCGATCCCGCTCCGCTCGACCACGTCTGCACGGCGCCAACACCGACAATGATGCGGCCGCGCCAGGCGCGCAGGATTGCCCTGCAGGCCCTGGCCGCCGCCCTGGTTTGGAATCTGATAGTCCTCTTCTTTCTGCCCGCCGACAGCCGCATCCTGTTATTCTTTCGCTTCACCACACATCGCGTCCTCTCGCTACTACCAACCCCGTACACCAACGAGGACTGGTTTTTTGAGCCGCCACGCTTTCCCATCGACTGGGGCAATGATGTTGCCTTCATCTTAAAGACGGGGTACGGTACCAAGGCCCGCCTACCCGCACAGCTCGACGCCTTCGGCATGAAGCTGGCCGGTGCTCGCGACGAAGCGGTGCTGGTTGTTGGAGACTTTTCCTCCCACCACCAGACCGACGGGCAGGACTTTCAGGTGCGCGACATGCTTGCCGCTGCCATGGAGAATGAAGCCCTGGCCTCGTTCCAGGACGCCAAGCGCATCCGCGTGTACCGAGAGATGACCGAGGCTATCAAGGCTGGGAAGGACGGCCCTGCGCTAGAAATAGGAAAGAAATTTGGCTGGGAGCTTGATGCCATGAAGGTACGATCATGATGATGCCTCCTACTCCGCGCAAGTTCCCGCGTACGAAGTATACGTGGGAGCGTCGAAAAAAATCTACACAGAATCTTACATCATCTAGTTCATCCCGGCCATGGAACTAGCATGGAGAACGCTACCCCGGCGGAAATGGTACCTCATGCTTGACGACGATACGTACATCATCCGGCCGTCTCTCCAACTACTTCTTGGCCATATGGACTCGTCCAGACCAATCTACCTCGGAAATGCGGTTGGCGACTACAAGGGGAGGTTCGCGCATGGCGGCTCGGGCATCGCCATCTCCGAGGCTGCGATGCGTCGTCTCTTTGACGAACGCCCCGACGCGGTGCGCGCCGCCTATCTTGACTCCCTCACGGAGACGTGGGGCGACCGCCTCGTAGCCCACACCTTGATGAAGGTTGGCGTGTATCTCGAGGAGCGGTACAAGCACCTGTTCAATGGGGAGCGCCCACGCGCCACACGCATCCGCGCCGACCGGTTCTGTGCACCGCTCATCTCGTTCCACGCCCTTGCCCAGCCGCCACAAATGCTCGAGGTTGGGAAAACGTTCCGCAACGTTGCCGAGCCTGTCCTCTGGAGCGAGCTCTGGGGGATCTATAGACAACCCGACCTGAACGTCTTTGGGGAGCTCGAGGTTCGGGAGGGGGAGGACCATGTCGGGCCACCACATGACGAGAACATGATCATCAAGAAAAATGTCGGGTCTGCGGAGCGCTGTTTGGGCTATTGCATCAAGTCGACCGGGTGCCTGGCATGGAGATGGGAACAGGAGGCAAAAACATGCTACCTGGCCCCTTGGTTCATAATAGGGGAAAGAGACAAAGGAGCGGTCAAGCGCGAAGGAGTGAGTTCTGGTATAAACGTCCGTCGGATACGGTCGCTGCAGGAGGGCTGCGAGGCTCGAGGTGTTCAGCAGCAGTCCGGCGATGCTTGATCACATGATGCACGTTATCAGGAATCTTTGAACAAGTCGATTTTCGAGCACGAAGCGGGCGTCAAATGTCATTTAGATCCTGCATACCATAGGATACCCATGGCGCTCCCCTCGGGCGAAGTAGGTACCACCTACTACCCACCTGGTCTATGTGATTTTTCTTCCTTCTTTCCGCCCTGTTGCAATGAATGTCTCTGCACGAGACTTCCCCGCATCGAACTTTTATTTTGCGGAGCAGCCATCTAGGGTGATGGTCTCGGACAACGAGCACCGTGTAGGGCTCCTGATGGATGGTAGGGCAGCAAGTCAGGAGCACCAGATCGTGTGCCAATGGCCGTAGCCCGGCGGCTAAATGGAATACATCCAGCTTTACGTCACCTCGGCCCTTGAAGGGTCAGTGAAGGCAAGCCAGATGGAATATTCATTGCAGTATCAGTACATACCCAGAGCACGCCGAGCGGTGTTCGTCCTAGACTTTCCCTCGTGAGCCTACTTCTGCCCAACTTGAATTTTTAGCAGCTTTATGGACATCGCGACGTTGTTTTCACGATTCCAGAGTTATTGAATGAACCCCCGTGGAAAGCATGCCTGGCGATCTGGGCTTTCCGCCCCTGAACCGGTCGCCGTCTGGATGGCTTGTGCACCCCACCATGTCCACCCCGTCCCAGATTGCTGCCGCACGGACCTTACATACGTCAATACCCCTCGACCAAACTCGATCTAAAATCTCGCCTGCCCAACCTCAACCGTGCCGGACTGACAGGGGCTCTTTCTCTTGGCCATCGCGACGTTTGCTTTTCTGGCACCTTCTTGGACGCATCCACCCGCCTGTCCCGACTGGACTACAACGCCCTTCGCGGCAACAGGACTCCAAAGACATTTCTGGGTCTGCCACCGCCATACGGAGACCTATTACCCCGACCCGAACAAACACCCTGAGCACGATCCCTACTGGCACGTCCCGACGTCGACAGAACTACTACCTGCCCTACCCACCTATCCACGTCTCTCTTCGATACTCGCCCCGGCACCTGCTTCCCTAGGTACCTACATACCTACCTACCCACTATCAAGACGCAATGGACGCATCGTCGGCCCCTGCTACCAATTCCCAAGCGTCTGGGGCGGGCTGGACTGCCTTCCTGAAGGTTAGACCGCACCCTCTCCTCACACGATGGCTCGTTCTTGCGACTCGCTACAAGCGCATCCAAGATACCCTCACTAACCGCCGAGGCTCGTCGCCCCCATCATCCAGTCTATCGCCTCGTTCAACGGCGATCTCTCCAGCCTGACCGCTCCTCCCTTCATCCTCTCCTCGACCAGCTTGACCGAGTTCAGCTCCTACTGGTGCGAGCACCCGGCAATATTCGCAGCTCCCGCCAAGGAAACCACCCCCGAGAAGCGAGCTCTCCTCGTGCTCAAGTGGTTCTTGACCACCCTGAAGCAGCAGTACGCCAGCCGTAGCGAACAATACGGAAACGAGAAGAAGCCCCTGAATCCTTTCCTCGGAGAGCTCTTCCTGGGCAGGTGGGAGGATGAGGCCGGCATCACCGAGATTATCAGCGAGCAGGTTAGGTACGGGCACATTAAACCAGATATCTCACCGCCAGCATGGCTCACAGACAGGGCCACTGGACGCAAGGCTGGGCTGATGCTAAAACTCCATCCGCCATCTACAGCCACCACCCGCCAGCTACGGCGTACTGCATCACCAACTTGCCCACCGGTGTACAGCTGGAGGGATACAACGCGCAGAAGGCGACGTTTATCAAAACGATAAATATCAAGCAGATTGGGCATGCCGTCCTCACGGTGCCGGTGCCGGCGTCGGACCCACCTCAGAGCGAGACGTTCCTCATAACCCTACCGGCCCTGCACATCGAGGGGTTGATCTTTGGTGCGCCATTCATCGAGCTCGAGGGCGCTTCGTTCATCACCTCGTCGTCCGGATTCACGGCCAAGATCGACTACAGCGGCAAGGGATGGCTTTCGGGCAAGAAGAACAGCGTCACGGCAGTCTTGTACCCCACAGGCCGCGAGAAGGAGGTTCTCTACAACGTCACGGGCCAGTGGACCACGTCGTTTGAGATCTACTCTGGCCCAGCCAAGGGAAACAAGTCGTCCACACTGGTTGGGACATACAAGGCGGCCGAGGTCCCGTCGACGAGCTTGAAAGTCGCGCCGATCGAAGAGCAGCACCCGCTCGAGTCGCGCCGCGCCTGGGCCAAGGTGGCAGCCGCCATTGCCAAGACGGACCTGGACACTGTCGGCGCCGAAAAGGGCAAGATTGAGCAGGCACAGCGCGATCTCCGCGCCAAGGAGCGCTCCGAGGGCCGTATGTGGCAGCGTCGCTACTTCACCATCCACACCGATGCGCCCGACTCCGTTCTCACCACGTTGGGCCCCGTGGTCGGGCTCGCAGTCCACGGCGACAGCGACAAGACCGGCGGGCTGTGGAGGTTTGACAAGGCCAAGGCAGAGAAGGCAAGGAAGGATCTCAAGCTCTCTGCGGAGGAGCAGGCAAAGATTGCAAAGGAAATCCTGGGGCAGTCGTAATGAAAAACAGGGGTCGGTGCAGGAGCACGAGAGGCTGATAGAACATGATAGTGCATTGGGTGTCATTATACATGGGCGGCGCCCGATAGCATGGAAACTCGGCACAATGCTGTGCATCCTTTCCAGATTTCATTATCAACCTGTTTCTGTCGGTTTCCAATGAAGACAGGTGTTTTGTCAGGCATGTCACATGTTGCTGATGAAGGCGCTAGTGGGTCTTTGACTTGGTGGCGGGTCTCGTGCTTTGGAATCCAATCGAAGCCCCTGGCGAGCTCCAGCGCTTTCTAAATAGCATCAAAAACTTGGGTCGAACTCTCACGAACCACAAAGACACTTCTCGAAGTAACTCATAGCAGATTACCACATTTCCAGAAGCCGCATGCAGGTTCGAGACGCGTCTAAACTGGTGATTTACGGACATCGTTTCGAAATGGTTCACGTAATGAGCGCAGTTTCGAGAAGGCTCGAGATGTCTTTGGCACAGGACTACCCGTGTATAAATCTGCCCGTTGATTCCCGAGAAGAAGTCGAGTTTTTCTTTCCATCGACATCATCAAACATAACATCCAAAGCAATCTGAACATACTGCATGCAATCTTGCAAAGCGCAAACCTACAAACTCATCGCTCCTCGCTCCTCCCGCTACCTGCGACCAGCAACCCGCAAGACCAACATTACACTCTCCAGACCCTACAGTGTCAGGTCGCGCAACACCAACATGTCTCTCTTCGCCAGGAACCTCTGCAACAACAACGACGACGTGAGCCTCGCTCCGTTCTTCCGCTTCATCGACGCCTTTGACAACCACCAGAGCCACAAGCGCGGCGGCCAGGCGTCCGTCTTCCGCGCCTCCTTCAACCCCAAGTTCGACGTCGTCGAGACCAAGGAGGCGTACGAGCTCCATGGCGAGATCCCCGGCGCCGAGCGCAAGGACGTCTCCATCGAGTTCACCGAGCCCCAGACCATCACCATCCACGGCCGCGTCGAGCGCCGGCGCACCGAGGGTAACCCGCCCGCGGGCCTGGTGGAGGGTGGCGAGCCGGCGACGACGGCGGCCATCACCGAGGGCGGCGAGAAGAGGCCGGCCTCGCCCTCGAGCGAGTCGCACCACGCCACCGTGACGGACGAGGAGACCGAGGCGGCCAAGGAGCGCGGCGAGGTGGCCCAGTCGGGCGCCGCCGCCGCCGACCAGAAGCAGCAGCAGCAGGCGGCGGCGCCCAAGCACAAGTACTGGTTCCAGGAGCGCTCGGTCGGCGAGTTCCACCGCAGCTTCTCCTTCCCCGTCCCGGTCGACGAGGAGGCCGTCAAGGCCTCGCTCACCAACGGGGTCCTCCGCGTTACGGTCCCCAAGCAGGAGAAGCGCTCCAACCGCCGCATCGACATTGTCTAAGAGCATTCGCCAAGTGTGGCGACGGAGGATGGATTTTCAACGACCCGCATTCCGTACGATGAGGAGGGGGTAATATCCTGATTTTCGAGACTTTGGCATTCATTTTGAGGGGGAACTTGGATGTATTGGAGTTTACAGTTTGGACGTATCCTTGTTGTTTCCATTTTCAGACTTACACGCTGCTCAGCCCGGCACCAGACCAACTAAGATAAATCAATTGAAAGTTCGCAATAGCACCCAAGAACTCGCGTGTGAGATGTCAATGCTCGTGAATTGACATGCATTTAGAGGGAGTGCAGCTGCACATCGAATCAATCCGATCGACCGGGCCATGGAATCATGCGCACGAGGCCGCCTAGAGGGCCACAGCCACCAAGGCCCACTGCCCGGACGTCACCAACCAACGAGGGGATACACCGAAGCTTTCCTCATCTTGCGACGCGACCAAAGTGCTCCTGGGCGCAAGCAGGATCGTGATAGGGCCAAGCAACTGGTCTTGGTGTTTCGTGAATGCATTGTTTGACGTCGGGCATTATGCAACCTGTACTATTCAACGCTTCTTGTTGATGATACCGTTTGTGTGTAAAAGGCGGTGATGACTTCCTAGGGGGATTTCCCAGTTAGGCAGTGCATGCAACGATCTAACCGCTGTGCCGCTTGGTCAGCTCAGCGCCTAGACCGAGATGGCACACATGTTCAATGTGCGATGTTCCAATATCACACCGTCCAGCCTCGGGTCTGCACATCAATACCCACGCGGACCACGACCTATTCAGGCCGCCCGTAATCTCCCAAAAGGGAAATGCGCGATCTGTCCTGGGGGTGAGGAAGCTCAAATGCAAGCTCCTTGCTAGCACACTTCACCTTGGGCAACGCGAGAAGCTAAGTCGGTTTCCATCGAGCTATCTACCCGTTAGACCCATCTCTGCACGTGAGTCACCTCGTCATCCCCTCCGTCCTTCTTCCCATCCAGGCGCAACGCGAAGCGAGTCGCCGGGGGCTCTGCTGGCGCTTCGATTCCATATAAGCGCCGGGCTGGAGCGTAGGGCTGTGGTTGGCCAGGACAGCGCTGGGCTGCCCCACCCGGACCTGCCAAAACTGGACGGCAGTCGGCGACCTTGCTGTGATCGTGGGGTCTGGTTGGCGGTTGGCGCCTCAGTCCTTGAAGCTTCTAAAATTACACCAGCTCCTGCCGCCGTGATTGGGCAGCACTCAATATCGACCACCTTCCCTGTCGGGCCTTGTGCACTGTCTTTGGACGCTGGCCGACGCACTACGACGCACGACGGTCCCCACTCTTTGCGGTCTCGCGCAATGCAATCCTAGATTCCCGCGCCGGGACCGATGTTCCTCTGGCCGCCAGACCTGCATCGCAGCCGAGTGGCAACCGAGGGCGCCAAAGCCAGCGCCCAAGAGCGCCTTCTTGTTGGTGGCCGCCGCGGGCATTGTGGGCATTGCGCGCATGACGGGTCCTTCGCCGCTGGTCCTGGCCGTACCCAGGCAACCAGGCTCGCACCACCACGCTGGGCTCACACCACACCCCCCCTTGCCCAGTGGCTTGGGCTTGGGATCCGGCCAGAGGGCGTGTGTGACTGGCACTCGATAGCCGCTCTCTCGCGCGTCCGATCCACGCATCTGCCTTGATAGATACCTCCCGACTGCCCAGCCGGCCGTCGTGCCCACACCCCTTCGCACCCTTAAAGACTATATCGGTCCCCCGGCCAGCAGAGCTGACTGCTTATTCCTCCTCTCTTCCTCCCCATTCTCTTCTCCACGCCTCCTGCGCCTTTACAAGAATAGACTGCTTCGTAGAGCGAAGTGTCGTCCCATCGTTCCTTCCTTTTGCTCCACCCTTACATTGTCTTCCCACGAGCGCTGAGCGTTGCATTCCGCTGGACGGTCTTTTCTATTTTGCGCCGTAGCATGCCGTCGCTCCATTAAACAACCATCTCACTGTTGCACGCAGAGACGAAAATGGCCAGCCTCCCGCTGACCTCGAACACATATCAGCCCCCGTCGCCTTCGCAGGGTCGAAAGGTCGGGCGGCTTCTTAATACTATAATGGAGGATGATAACGAGGATCCCCCCACTGCACAGCTCCGGCGGAGGACCCAACAACACGCCGCCGCCAGCAGCCTGGGCTCGGACATGAAGATCCAAGCCTGGTTGGGACCTGTTGGGGACCACTTCCCCACGCCGCGGGGCTTCAACTTCATGCCGGCCCCCGACCTGCCCTCGTCGCCGTCCTCGGCTTCCGCTGACGAGAGCCTTTCCGAGTCGACGTCCTCCAACCCCTCCGATGCCTGGAACAGGCGCCAGAGCGCCATGACCGACGTCACCGAATTCGACGACCTCTACGATGTGTCGGACGAGGACGTGCCCCGCCAGGACATGCTCAGGAACGGAGGCATCGCCCGCCGCAACAGCTCGCGCCGCAAGTCGGGTGTCCGCCCCACAGCCGAGGTGCCGCGCAAGCCACTCCCTCGCCTGGTCATCCCTGGCGCGCGCACGGCACCGGTACCCGAGCCCGAGAGCTGGTCTGCCAGGTCGGACCGGCTCAAGATGAAGAACAAGCTCACCTCGCCGGTCGTGCCGACGCCCACCTCCATCGTTCAGATGTCCCCCGCCGTCATGTCGTACATGAAGGCGCAGCAGTCCCTGGACATTCCGACCGTTTCTGCGCCACCCTCGCTCGATGGCAGCATGACTTCGGACCAGCTGGCGCAGATGTCCGCTCCCCCCACCCCCATCATCGGCGGACAGGACGGCGGCGAAGGCAACTGGTCTGGCGTTCATCTGCAGCCCGGGGCCCTGGCTACCCTCGCCTCCCTCTCGAGCTCTGGCTCCGAGGCCGACGAGCTCGAGCGCACCCAGCAGGTCATCGAGGTGCCCCAGCAAATGCCCGAGATGCTCCAGCAGCCATCGAGCCTGTTCAGGAACCTTGTTCGCGCCTCGATCCCCCAGTCGCCCGCCGTCGGCTCGCTGGCCGGTCTCACCAGGCTGGAAATTCCCTCCCCGGGCGGGTTTTTCTCTGGCCTCTCTCCTCGCAGCAGGACCACCTGGCATTGGCCCGCGCCGCCCGCCGCCGCCGAGCCCGCCCCTCCGACCTCGACGACCGCCGAGCAGTTCTACAAGGCTCCCTGGAACACAGAGACCGCCCCCACGATGCCCACCCCCACGGTCCGGGCTCTCCACATGCCGGCCGGCGACTTCTCCTCGTCTCCTGTCGAGCAGGTCGTCGAGATGCCTCTCAGGCAGGCCGTGGAGGATGATCTCGCGACCGCCGTTCCAGTGCAGCAGACCCCGGTGACCGCCGTGCGGATCCCTGCTGTTCAGCCCCTGGACGCCCTGAAACATGTCAACGAGGAGCCATCCTCGCCAGTAGCAGAGGTTGTCCCGGCCGGACTCGTTCTGCGAAATGAGCAATTGTACGCCACCAAGCAACAGGAGTACGAAGGCACACATGCCGACCGCACCGAGCGTTGGCTCTTGGCACAGAGGGCATACCTGAAGGGTGTCGACTGCATTCCCGAAGTCGACGACGAGGATGACGAGGAGCCGGGGTTGATATCTTCAACGGAGGACGAGGAGGAAGAGGAGGAGAAGAGGCCGGTGGTTCCTGCCAAGGACGTGGTGCTAGCCAAGCAACCCGAGGTCGGAGTCGAGCCCGCGTCCTCGGAGAGTCGCGTTGCCGGGACGGAAATGGTGGTTGCACAAACCAAAAAGTCGGTCCGCTTTTCCGAGGTCGTGAAGCCTCCAGCGCTACCCCTGAAGCTCCCATCCAAGCTTGTGCGGCAGGAGTCGGCGTACTACAGAGCCTTTACGGACTACACTGTGCGCGCCCACCACAAGGATGCCTTTGTCAACCGGCTGCCGCGCTTCGAGGCCCTCCAAGCCCAGCGCGTCTCCCTACGTGAGGCTCACCGGAACCAGCTCCTCGGAAAGTACCAGCTGTCGGTCGTGCCCCTCTCGGCCAAGAAGCGCATGAGCACCAACGTAGTCCGGGGCGACGACGTGGTGACGGACGACCCAGAGAAACTGCGGGCCGACAAGGAGAGTGAGGCGCTGTCGCAGGCGAGTGCGGCGGCGTGGCACGTGGCGGCCACCAAGCTGCTCAACGGCGGCCGGCTGATCGGGGCGCCGGTGCACAAGCGGCTGGCGCGCATGTCCCGCATGACCAACTCGCCCGAGGGCCGCACGCGGATCCTGGACCTGGGCGGGCAGGCGACGTGCGACTGGGCGTGGCACGCGGCGCTGCAGTACCCCAACACAAAGGTGTACACGGTCACGACCAAGGCGATCCGGCAGCTGTCCAACTGCAACGTGCGGGGCCCGCCCAACCACCGGCAGGTGGCGGTGCAGCGGCTCGCACGGCTGCCCTTCGCCGACGACCAGTTCGACCTCGTGTCGGCGCGCGAGCTGCACTCGGTGCTCAAGCTCGTGGGCGAGAACGGCGAGGACGAGTGGGAGTCGTGCCTGCGCGAGTGCATGCGCGTGCTCAAGCCGGGCGGCTTCCTCGAGTTCTCCGTCATGGACTCGGACGTGGTCAACGCGGGCCCGCTCGGCAACGCCAAGGCGGTCGAGTTCGGCTTCGCGCTCAAGACGCTCGGCTACGACCCGAACCCGTCGCGCATGTTCCTCGGCCGCCTGGCCCGCGCGGGCTTCGAGGGCGCCCGCCGCGCCTGGACCTGCCTGCCCATGGGG